TAACATACTAAAAAAAATTGAAGAAATCTCAATTTAATTTTATTCCCAACCTATAAATTTAATCAATTAGGTCCCAAATGTTTTAAGAAATTCTCAATTATGTCTTTTATTAAGTTCATCGATATTTTTGTCAAATTTTATTCTAATTAACGATGTAATGTCTAAATATAAACATTAGACCGAAAATGTTAATACTTATTATCAACATCATTTTACTGCATAAAATATATAAAAATATATACATTAGACTTAAATTATTGAAAAAAATTGACAAAAAAAGGAAGAAGAAATGATTGAGAAATATAAGAAAAGTATGAGAACTAATTAACAAGATTTATAGATTTAAAATTAAATTGGGGTTTCTTCTAAAAAAAAATTTAACCAATTTTTTCATTTAGTCAATGACACTTGCTCATGTGTCCACCAAAAATACTTGTATCATTCTCATAATTTCAAGAATTTTAAAATAAGTATAAAGAAGAGGCGAGATACTCTCACATATTAATAGGACAAAAGGTTACAATGTGTTTAAAATAACTGCTAACACTACAAGAGTCTTTAACTGCAGTGAGGGGAAAAAAAAATCGTGTTTCAACAAGAAAATATATAGAATTGACTGCTTATGCATACTAGGATATTTAGTAACCAAACTAGCCGATTACGGGCATCCCGCTATGAGTCAAACATAAGAAAAACATTTCAAAATTTTATAATTTTTTATTATAATTTTTTTATTTAATTTTTTCTATTTTTTGTATTTTCTATTTTAAAAAACATGATTTATTCTTCTTTATACATTGATTCATACGTAACAACTTATAATAATTTAAATTAAAATGTTAATAAAAAATTATAAAATACTTTAAAAATATATTTTTCATAAGAAAGTACTCAAAAAATTAAATTACAATTAGTATATAGACTTATATAAAGTTGACTCATAAAAAAATAATTTTTCTCTTATTCAATGTTGATAAGATAATTATTTTTAAAAATTATATGCATTTGATTGATATATATTTATTTACAAAATAATCAACAATGTTAGCATAAAAAAAAACTGTATTTGATTACTTGGGTGGTTTTTTTAAAAAATATTTTAATTATTTTCTTTCTAATAAATTGATTCTATAACATTTTAAAAAATATATTTATAGAAGATAGTTGATGTTATGTGTGAAGATATACAATTAATCTTTAATAAAATAGATGATTTAATAGTTTATATATATATATATATTTTGATCATACGTAGTAGAATAAGACAAATTATTTGGAATATATTTTTAATATTTTAGATTAAAATAATTATATATTTATATATAAGCAACTATCATTTAAAAATTACATGATATATATTATATCAATTTATTTTTTAAAAAAAATTAATTGTATTCTAAAATTCAAATATAAAAAAAAATTATATTTATCAATAAAGAAAATTTTACTGAAAAATAGTAATTTGATGAGAATTTTCGTAAAAAAATGACAAAGAATAAATTTTACATATTAAGAATAATATAATCTAAAGTATATATTGATTTTAAATATAAAAAATAATATTATATATATATATATTATCTTCTTCACGCTACGTGAAAACATAAATAATAACATTTGATATTTCATAAGTTTTTCCTAAACATTCTTAATTAAAAAATTAAAGAAAAGAAAAAAAAAGGAGAGAGCCCACGAGATTGGCTCAGAGGACGAGGCCTGCGAGCTTGAAGCACCACATGCCTGGGCTTGGAGCACCAACCTAGCGTGCTTGGGCCTGGAGCACTAGGCTTGCGCAGACCTGGGTAGTTCCTCTTCATTTTCGACAACCTCTGCATTTTTCGGTGACCAATTTCATTGGAAAAGTCATTCGAAAAATCGAGTGTTATTATTTCATATTTCTCAAAACAAAATGCAATCCGATTTTATCCAAAAACACTTGAAAATAACTGAAATAGTATTTTAAAAAAAAAAACTTGTTTAGAAACTTAAAATTTATTTAATTCACACAAAATACACAAAAATTCAAAAAAAAAAAAAACTCAAAATATTTTGGATTTTTAATCTATCTTCTACTTGTATGTCATAACTTGTCACCACAGTAAATAGATTCTATTATTAAAAATGAACAAAGTGGTGATAAGATTAATTGTTGTGGTGGTTGGAATCGGCCTCATTGGTCTTCTCTCTCTCCTCACTCCTCTGTCTCTTCTTTCTCTCTCCTCTTAGAATACAGGGGCTAAAAAGAATAAAAAATGACGTTTCAAACCGAAAAAATGTTGTTTAAAATAGAGGGACCTAAGTGAATATTTTAGGTGCAAACAATGAATGAATTGTGATTTTAAAGAAAATGAAGAGAAATAAATAGTGAAAATAAAAAGAATACACAGTGAGTGTGTGAATAATGAATTTCCTTCTGGTTTAGTTGCTTTAGTTCATGATCATATCACTCTTCAACAAAATTTTAGTTAACGTATCCATTTTATTTCCCATGCACTGCCATTTCCAGACTTATTGTATTTGTGGCATTCGAAGCATACTTAACTGCAGACATGGTTTCATTCCTTTTTTTCTTTTCTTTTCTTTTCTTTTTTTCCCTTCCTGTCGTATCCTTTTCCTTTGGGTGGACTGTGAATGGCTCTCGAGAGATGATAATGTACAATTTAGTCCCTTAATTCATGTAGAAAATTAATTTAATCCTTAGGAAAAGTTCAGTTCAAAGTTTATTATTTTCTTACAATTTCAATCAAATTATCAAACATTATTAAAATGAAGTGACATAAAAAAGTATGTTTTAGTCCCCTAATTATGAACAAAATGAGAATTTCATTATTATAAACAAGTTCAATCTTTTTCTATCCCAAGTCCACATCTTTACCATACGGCACGAGATAATGGTTGTGTTACTCCTTAACTAAGAAACTCACTATGGGTATCGCAATGGAAAAAAAGAAAAAGAAAGTGAGCAACTCAAATAGATAGGATTGAAGGTTTGGTATTGAAATAGAAAATGGATCAAAGACTTGGTACCAAATTTGCAATTTTCTCTTGCAGGGTGGACAAAAGAACTGGTCTTGTTCAGAAGGAAAGGGAAATTGACCGTTGCTTTTTTGCGGTGGGTTTGAAATTGCGAGTATATCATAAATCAATCCCTCAATGTTTGCAAAATAAATTAAATAATCCTTCTAATTTTAAAAATTAATTAAATCAACCATTTATAATGTTGATCATGTTTAATTTAATATTAATTTGTCTCAAAATAATATATATATATATTTTTTTCAAACTTTCCATAATATCTATTTATTTTTTTTTACTTTTTAATTTCTTAAAAAAAATAAAAAATAAAAAAGGGCATAAAATAGATGAAATGAACTAATTAATTAATTTTTGAAATTAGAAAAACTATTTAATTCATTTTTTTAAAACTAAAGGACTATGGTCTCTGGAACGTGGAGTAAGTCAACACGGTCTAGCCCACTGGATTTTATTAGGGGAAAGGCCACACGTTCATTCGACAATGGTAAACCCACACAGTTAGCCCACTAAGTTGCCATTGCCGTTGGATTACGACTGATAGCTCAACTATTTAAGATTGTTCTAATAATATTTTTTTGGCTGATCCATCCTCGAAGCATCTAATTACACAAGGAGTCAAATAGCCATGCATGAGATATTTAATTAGAACCTCGTCAAAAAGGCAAAAACTTTATGTAAACCGGGCGCTAATTGTATTTGACTGCATAGCGACCGTCTATGTGCCCCTCAACTACATATAAATGAGCACAAAACCAACTTCTTGCTTATCAAATCACATTACTTCCCTCTAAAGCGTCTCTTCATTTTACGGTTTTAAACCTTCTCTAGTTCTAGTTTGGGAGTGACTTGCAAAATACCAAAATGAGTGTGGAAATTTTGGATGGTGCCACCATTGTCAACTTTCTGGAGGACGAGGAAGCATTCAATGCGTTGGTATGTGACCGTTTTGCTCACCTTGATTCAGACCATGATGGCCAGCTTTCGTATTCGGAGATGTTGAAGGAGCTGCAGGGTTTGAGGGTATTGGAAACCCACTTTGGAGTAGATGTGGAAACAGACCCGGACGAGCTTGTTCATGTCTATGATTCTCTGTTTGTCCAATTTGATCATGACTTGAATGGGACAGTGGATTTGGAGGAGTTCAAGGCAGAGACCAAGCAAATGATGATAGCCATGGCCAATGGGATGGGTTTCTTACCTGTTCAGATGGTCCTGGAAGAAGACAGTTTCTTGAAGAAAGCTGTGGAGTGGGAAACTTCTAAGTTGGTTGCTTCAGATGCGTCATACCCTGATTAATTCCACATCCATTACCCTATACGTGATTCGTTAGTTTTGTCTTTGCTATTTCTTCTCTCTCTCATTGTATGCCGAGGTTAATTTTGTCTGTCGATTTTTCTTCTCCCAATGTTTCCAAGTTTAGCTGACTGCAGCTAACAAAATAAATGAAATGCTCTGTTATTGGCGAAGGTAGTAGATGTCTTAAAAGTTAGTTCTAACCTAATGCAGTTGTTCACGCTTTAATGTAAAAAGCTAAATAGAACTTCATGAGCAACTAACAAAAAGGAAAAATATGCGTTCTGATCAAATTGTGAAAAGAAACAAGATGCATCAGTGACATCAGAAGAACAAAGATGACAAAAAATCTGACAGAAACATGAATATCTTTCCTCTTTCAAGAGGGCTTCAACTAGTAGATGGACACAAGGACTGAGCTACATTCATCTCAAGTTTTGTTCAAATTTTTTCGTCCAACAGAATGGAATTTGGTAAAACAGAGGAGCATCAGAATGGGAAACAACTCATGGTTGTCAGATGCAGGGGAGCACATGAAAATTACAGAAATAATAGAAAATCTAAATAAATAAATAAAATTAGGAGAATTTGCTTTGAAATTTAACTCTTTAAATACCTCAATCCATCATGATTTGTTTCACTTGCCCAGGAAACAAACTTTTACAAACAGGTCACAAGAACAATGACATCTCAGGAGATGGAATGAAGGAGAGAATGCTTTCACCAAACAGCTCAAATAGGGATACCAGAAGGTGCCCAGAATTCAAGTCATCCTTCCAAACCTGACTGAGAATGGCTGACGTCTTTATAGCTTGACTATCACCCTTTTCTTTTTGAATTCTGCTGCCAGCATAGCTATCATTAGGCATCTGTTCAGATGATGTTGATGGTCCCATTTTAGAATCGCCTGAAGGAGCTGGAGCTCTTGGTTCCACTTGCATGTGCGATGGTGAGGTCTCAGTTGGCACTATGTTGGCTGGACCGTCAGTTGCTATCTTCTTTGGTGGTGGCTGTTCCACATGCTCCATGCTTGCCTTGCATTTATCTTCATGGTTTTTTATGAGAGGAAAGAAATTATATTCCACCCTCAAGCAAGAAAAGCACCAAGTCTCAGAAGTATGGACTCGAAAAACATGTAGCAGTTTGGTTTGATAATTAAGAGGCCAAATATTTCAGAACTAAATCGAAATCACCCAAAACCAAACGACAACAGCATAATGCTCACCCATTACTGATCCTTCTTGAAGCATCCCTCACAAGGTCAAGGAGGGAAATAATGTAAAATAGCTATTCAACGAATGCTCACCCAGTACTGCTCTTTTTTTATTTTGAAACCCTTAAAACTCAAGGAGGCAAATAATTTACAGTATAGATATTCGCAGAACACTCAATCATTACTGCTCTTTTTTTTTTTTTCTTTTTTTAATAGTGGTCCTCACAATATGAAGGGAGGAAATAATGCACAATGTAGATATAAGCAAATTAGCACATGAAGCAACATAGCTAAAAGGATTCTGACCAATATGCATGCATGCACTAATATAGTAATTGCACCTGACCTTTGTAAATGTTTCTAGTATATCTTATGCATCATTCATGCATATATTTATTTGTTGAAATTTGATCCACACCATATATACATCAGCATGGAAACATCACAAACTGTAGCATGGTATAATTTCAAGAAAGCAAAGTCAGTAAAGATCACCTGGCCCTTTAGTAACAATTTTTTCATTAGTCCTTAATACAGCACATGCTGGATGCGATGGCAAAGGTGGGAAAATCTTGAGGCGGTCATATATGCATTGACCAGCTGCACACTGGAAAATTCGCCATCTTGTAAAGCCAGTCTCCATAGGATATACATTTTTATATTAAGTAGACAGTAACTCACCAGCAAGGCTCCATAAACATGCCAAGCTTCATGCCTCTTCATCTCATTCTTTTGCTTCTCAAGAATCATCTCTGGTTCAAGAAGTTGGAGATATGGTTTGAGATTTGGCAGTAGAAGAAGGCGAACCTGCTTGTGGAGTAAGAAGCATTAATGACTTGAAATCCTGGAAAACGATTAGAAATAAGATGCAGGAATAAAAATATAAATGACTATTTTAATGGCTGCCAAGGTGTAGCAAGGGCCAAAAAGAGGAAAAGAAGTAATGGCTTCCGAAAGGATGAAGAGTCCAAGCACTGATTTAAGATTTATCATTTTTCAAATTACTTTTGTTTAAGAAAGTTTGCACTAGAAGTGAAAACATTCACAGAAAAATTCCCTTTACCAATTCATCCATTTGAAAAAAATCACAATCTGTAGAGTTGGGTTGTGCTATTAGTATGGAATACTTCTCCAGACTATGGAGAAAATACATATGGGATCACAAGAAGAGCATACTGCAAAGTATGCAGTTGAATCATTGACTAAAATTTCCAAACAAGTTCTTTATGCCATTCCAATAAACCTCTTTGCTTGATTTACCTGTACAGCACCTCAACTTCTATTAAGATAAAAAAATCTGGCCAAAGCATGTCCTTTCAATTTAAACATCTTGTTTCCTAAGAATTGCAAATACAAAGAGACAGTAAATAATAGTGACTCCATTAGTTCATTTCTCAAAATTCTGGTCTGGTACAAAATAATCTTGAAGAGGGGGAAAAAAAGTTCTCTATTTCTTTTTTCAAAAAAAAAATAAAAAAAAATGGCAAATTCCCATGATAAGCATATCCAAACTTCCGTAGGGTAATCTGACTTCCAATCTCCAAAGACAGTTCCAAGACAGGTCAAAATAAAAAAATAAAAAAAAAAACCTACAAACTCTGCATAGTTAGCTTCATGAGATATATCCAGTATCCAGATATCTCTACTTATCCTACGTGTAACATTTTTTCATCCAGCATAAAATAACCAATTTTGGGAAACTTTGCCCCTAATTATAGAAACTACGAATAACTGCTTTAGCATCTCCTTCAATATCAACTCACAATTGTCTGTATTACAATCCAAAATGCATCCTCAGAAAGCCATTACTTCCATCGCTAAACAGAAAAGTTGCTTGTACACCCTTTAGTAAGAATAATGAGAAAAGCAGACAACATCACTGCATATCATATATATCTACTGCTTCCTCCTTATATTATTTCTCCTATTTCATTTCAGCATTTCTTCTATGACACATCTGATGAGGATCAGTTAAATTCTTATAGATTATGTGTCAACAGCAATCTAATACTATCATAAGCATGAAAATAACTTCCAACAATGATTTAACAAAGTTTACATATTTATACTTCCTATAAGCATGCGAGAAGGAAATACCACATTGGGCCCTAGAGCCGCCAATCCTTGTATTGCACCATAATGCTGAGTCAATGAACGCTTTGGGTCCAAAAGGGCATTGAGCAAAGTTTTTGTCAAACGTGTCTGAAGACTGTTATAAACATGCCCAAATCTGCAACAGCTTCTGAAACTTACACTTGGAACATACTTTATGTAGAAAATTAACTTATACAAATAAACAATTTTATTCAATGGATCGGCTAAGTAGACAAGTCAGTCAATCAAGTATTAATCAAGTTATCTAACTCAGTTTCAAAAAAAAAAAATTGTTAAGGAGGAACAGAAGCTTAAAATTCATTGGTGCCCACATATAGTACGAAATTATTAATGAAGTCACATCAGTCAGGAATGCTGACCTATATTTGTCACTAGTGGAGGACAAATAGACAAGGAAAAAGTCCACCAAATGATTTACTGTTGGTATAAACTGATCAACTGGTCGCGGACAGATTATTTAACCACGTGCATGATCACAAAAGTAAAATATTTCCAAATGGTTTGTGCAAAAACATTAGTCAGACTATCCTTAGGTTGTATGAAGGCTGAATGTTGCCAATCATGCACCCTGCCAAATTATGACTGTTGTGTGTAGAACAGACAGCAGACAAGAAGTATTATTACCTTTTGCATATCAAGGCAACTAAGTTAGCGGTGAAGTCCCTGAGTTCCCAGTGGTTGTCTGCAAATCTATTCCCTAACCTTTTCGCAACGAGGCAGGTGACAACAGATGGCATCAATTGGTGCAGCTGACAAGAAATCCACCACCTTCTCAATTTCAAAGATTGCACTCTTCAAAAAAACTACAGAGTTTATCCATATACATTGAATAATTACAATAAAATTTCATCTAAGTTGTTTGGTCAATGAGCAACAAATGCATATGAACGCATCAGGAAGTGATGCTTAAAACAAAGACACCAAAAGACATGGGGAAATAAAAAACCAATGCGCATGGAAGCAATAAGAAGAAGACACATCCACCAAAGGAAGCACTCATTAAGTAGTTGGCACCAAAACCCCAAACACTTTGATTAAGTAAGGATCACTGCAAGACTGCACAGACCTTTATTACGACTAGTTTTCTTCTTTCATGTGCATTGCATATTTGTCACTAAAAAAACATAAGTGAATGCATACAAACTTCTGTGCACAATTATCAGCACACAAACAAAAACATCAAATCAAAAACATTAAAGAACAATTAAAAGTTACAATATATAACTTTCAGTATCTCTTTCTTTTTACTGGAAAGATGAAGCTTTCTTTCGTACCTATTTAATGTTAATTGAATATTAACTACTATATCAAATTAATAAAATCTCTTTTTTTTTCCCCAGACCAACTAATATGTTGTCTCTTATTATGATATTTATTCCATCATATCTACAATACAATATCAGTTGATAAATCAGTACATTGACAATAAAAAATTTCTTATCAAAGAATAACCCTATTCACATGCCTATGTTAAATATTTCATTCCTGCTTCTGTATATTTTTATGGTATAAAGAACTTAACAATGTGCAAAAATAGATCAGAAGTTCCTTTTTTTCTACTTTAGCTGTAGCTGTATAATTCTGGATTTGTAAACACTCATTAAAAAAAAATTATTTTTTAGTACATTGACCTTTTTTCCATAATAAAAGAACACTTGTTTGGTGGGCGCAGGGTTGGGGAAGAGAATCTGTTAGAAGGTTTAGGTTTCATTATTGATGTCAAAATAAATAACCATACACACTGAGAAAGAAAAAAAAAAAAAAACCCATAAACATTTACATGTAAGATTACGTACATTGCATCAATTCCATGTAACTAACTCACCATCAATTATCTTGTTCTTCAAAAAATAAAAAATAAAAAATAAAAAAAGCCGATTAGCTAACTTAATTCATCTTGTATTCATCTATAATCCCATATATGAACGAGAGAATATTCACAATTACCTGTACTTGGTAAGTTAACAGTGCATATAATATTAGATTCACACTTTTTTTGTTGGAACAAAAATTTACCATTCAATGTCAATCTAATCCTCTAAGAAAGTTATTAATTGTTATGCCATATCAATATTTTTTATTCATACTTTCCTAAAATATCATTTTTGTTCAAATTATTATTAATCAAATCTAATCCTACATTACATGAAACCAATATTAATTTAAAGAAAAAATCTATCCAAAATTAAGGTGGTAAATCAAAGAAAAAATCATTAAGTTAATTAACAATCAAGTTTAAAAAAATAAGAAAAAATAACATACTAATGAAAATATTTTACTCCTAAAATTTTAGCATATAGTAAAGTCCTTACAAGAATGAATATTTTTCATGCAAAAAAAAAAAAAAAAAATTCCCTTTGAAATTTTTATGTTAAAGGTACTCCTATATTTATAAAGAGAAAATATAAAAAGCATTGCTTTTGTATTAGTGAAGAGCAAAAAATGAAAGAAAGTAAATTATTTAAATTTTTTGATCAGATAAATATTTTGAGGTACATATAAATAGAAAAAGAGACAATTTCTTTGGGATAGAAGGAGTATCATAGAGGGTAAAAAAAAAAAATTATACTAATTCCTTTTTATTTGCAAGGGATTTGGCCCCTAGGCTATACAATAATCATTCAAAGGAATCAAAACTCCATTACTAATTATGAGACTCAAACAACAGAATGCAGGATGCTAGAAAAAACTCCTTTCCAACTAAGGGTAGGAAACGTATCATATTCCAACAATAAAAATAAATTAGCTTCTTCTAAAAATGTAGTTTACCTTTTCTATTGTTACATAAATGATTGAATACACAAATTAGAAATTTCAAGTTCATGACCTCAATGGTTTATTATAAAAGGATCTAAACATGAATGATGGATAAAAAAATAGATATTTTTAAGAAGGGAGAAATCCACAGGTTTACATTAATATTGTTTATTGTTGACTAGTTAAGTTCATTATTCTTCAGTACAACATAACAATTAAATTAGTCATTTGTAAAATTAATTTGTAACAAAAAGCAAATTGAGATTAAATTGGCCTCGAATATTTCTTACATCAGATGCTTGTGCAATAATTGTATAGGACAAAAAAGCTTTCCCAAATCAACATATGAAAAGTAGTCGCTACATGAAACTGATGTGCATACGGTAGTTAGTGGTAGAAAGCATGATGAGGATTTTAAACAAAGTCCTAAGCAAATTAAATAAATCCATTTAACCTCTGAATAATGATTTCATAAAAGCATGGAGTAATTTTTATTTTTAGTTTGCTTTTAGGGAAATAAAAATAAAAAAATTGTGAAGTGATATTGCTTTAAGTGAGCATGACTATCTTGCCATTCAAACACCAATTGGATATGTATTTAAGCAGACAAATGCACATCAACAGAGTTCAACTCAATAACCATTATCGAGGCAATGCAAGAGATTTGGTTTCTATTCCATCTGAATAGCAACAGCAAGTGATGCTTGCAAATTACAACTTTTAGGGAACTGTAAAGTAGAAAGCTACAAATTTTTATTTTTTTTAAAAAAAAAAAAAACCGATGCTTCTACATAAAAAATTGCAACACAATAGGTAAAATTAACCTTGACCTGGTCAATTCAACTTAAAAGGTTTTTCTCCTCCATCTAAATCTTTCTTTCTTCATCTTCTTCTTTGCTTTTTTGTGTCTTTGCTAGGGGGACTCTTTCATAGAAAATTTTGATTAATAACAGGATAGAATGACGTATCTGTATTTGCTAGTTTGTTACACATAAAAGAAATGCATATTTTTTAGAGTTAGTTTTTCAGACCATCCATAATTAGCAAATACAACTAAAGGTATTTAAGTTGGATAATATAGTCATTCAAACTGAAAAGAAAAAAGTTTATTTATGTCAAACCAAATGTTTTGACTCTCCAAGCTTTTATATATAGTACAGATGTAGATGTAGATATAGATCATTATCACTCACTTAAAGTGCAAATAGTGTAAAATCGCTGATTAGAAAGAACAGGTATAAACCTCATTTCGTAAGTCAATCACAAATGCCAAGGATGCTCCAATTACCAAGTAGATAGTGGCAAAATGGCAATAACAAATTACAGCACATGATTCTTGTTTATATAACATGTGTGCGTGTGTGCAACACTTGTCTCTGAGTTTGTATTATTTCTTTTGGAAAAAGGTTAAATTCTGAAGTCATTATCATTCACTTTACTACATTTGAATTTGTAACCCAGACCGCTTGAGAACAAAATATGTCATACTGTTCAGAACAAAGGTTCCAATGGGTAGCAACTAATGATAACTATTATCGAGTTCATTGCTTAAAATGGCCATTTAACGTCCAATCATGGTGCTACATTCACATTAACATGTGCTGCATGAACACAACAATTAGATTACTGTCACTAAATAAACCTGAAATCGGAGATTATTCACAGTATTACATTATACATGCTCGGCAAATGTAAGCAGGAAGATAAATAAACTGCAGGTCAACTTACATAAGGTTCAACGTGTATGTGAGGATTCTGGAGAAGACTCCAAACAACACGCATCAAAGCAAATAGAAGAGGATATTCATTTAAACCACGAGCAACCTATGTTATTGGATAAGCAAAAATTTAGAAATGCAAAATGCAAAAGGCATGATCATGTGTTTCCAATATCTATTAATGTGGGCAACATAGTCAGGAAAATATTACCTCATCAGCTATAAAGTATGTGAAATAAGGAATCAACGGATGAAGTCCTGAGTCAGTAGCCAAACTAACTAATGCTTCTTTAAAGAGAATAGAATCAGACCTCCTCAATGTTAGATCTGTGATTTTATCAAAGTACAGCTGGAAAGGCGAGGAAAAGAAAAGGGAAAGAGATAATAAACCACTGCACTATGGAAAAAATGGAAAAAAAAAATGCTGGCAATATATCACACACCTGTAACTCCCTAGACAATACATGCTTAACCGGCAATTTAATGTCAACTGGAAATCCATCGTTTTGTTTGTCAATGTTGCCACCAGAAGAAGGTGCAATAACTACAGGAACAAGCATGATCCATCAAAAGATTAGCTCTGATAGTAAAAGCAAAACTGAGCAGAAAGGAATTTCTAAAACAATGAATAAAGAATAGTCTCCATTGACTATATAAATATTCAAAGTTTAATCCCACAACATAAAAAAAAATTAAAAAAAATTAAACAACTACAACTAACAAGATCAAACTCACAGAAGTTCTAGAAGAAGTGATCTGTTCCATCAAAGCAGTTAAAGATGAAAAATGATCATGACATACATGTTTAGAGCTCAGAGATGCTAGAAGCCTACTAAATGCTTAATTCCAGTTGGTATATATTCTAGCTTGCTAGAGCTTAGATCTTGGATTACGTCATCTTAAGTTTTGTCAGTGATGTGTAACTGATGAAATCCCAAATGGAATTAAGAGACTGACCTTCCAATGGAGCATTTTCTGGGATAGCAGGCTGGACACCTTCAATAGCGAGCCAGTGACAAACAACTGCTGTATCAAGGGGTGCTTTTGGCAAAGGTGCCTCAATCACCTATTGTTCAAACATAAAGATTAGGAAATAAAAAAGTTGATCTAATAATTTCAATCGAAAAGGAAATGTATATAACTTCAAATTCCTTACATCTTTAAAATCGATATCCTTGTCATCAACATAAAACAAATCTCTATGACCAATAGCTCTTTTGAATTGCAAAGCAGATCCTGAAGCAAAGCCATATATTGGCTGATGCAGAAAATTAAACCTAGTTAGGTTGAATACTAATAATAATAGAGTTTCCAGTAAAAAAAAAAATTCGATAATCACCATAAAAGCAGTTCTACACATCACAGCCAAAAAATCAATTATTCCCACTTCTAAAACAGGCACAGGACTGGAGAAAAACAGAACCATATGATAAGAGACCATGTTCAAGCCCTTTACTAAGTAAGTAGATCCAAATGGAAAAGTTGTGAGACAAAACAATGAAATTCAAACCCTAAAATATTATGTTGAAACTGAAACAGAAAAGAAAAAAGTGCAATAATACTTGAAAAACCATTCTAATTTCCCAGCATTTCTCCAAGTTCATTTTCAATTGTTAGGTTGTAAAAGCTCAAAAATTTTCTCGAGAGTCTACACTTTTATGACAATCATGATTGGACTGTAAATTAGCCCACATGCTCCAATCCACTTCCACTTTCATCCTTTGGATTGAAAAATTTCAAAGTCTGAAGCTATGACCCATCGATACACATTATCGATTGCATTACATTAATTGAAAACTAAGCAGGCATAAGATTATTTTTCCATATAAGACAACAAGAAATCATCTAACCACTAAAGCTTTTTCGAACTAATGATATTCAACAAATAAATAAAGCATCCTAAAGATCAGTCATTCATAATTACCTCAACATTTGTTAGGTTAAGTGCACCGTCAACATCATCTTTAGTCAATGTAGTCCTCTTGGAATGACGCATACATTTGATAGCTTCCTGTTATTTTATTTCATCATTAAAACAAAAATACTAAATAAATTTCTACAAAAAAATTAATTGAATCACTCTTGTATTAACAGTACATTACCTGCATGATTTGACGCGTCCGAAATTCGACATCAGGAGCGAGGGCAAGAGCGACATCTTCAGACAAATTGGCGATTCCTATGCTTTGTGCAATCACTTCAATTGTCTCTTTCGCTACTATACTCATTCTCTTTTCCTCCTCCTCCTCCTCCTCTAATTTTTAACACACTACTCAATTACCGGCATGAAAACAACAAGAAAGTTTGAATTATAGTGATTCGTGTGTCGAGGAGGAAGCTTACCCTAGCTTGACCAGTGAATTTTTTTTCTTCGCTTGTTTGGCGCTTAACTCGAACCCTGGACAGACCGAGAGAGAGAGAGAGAGGGTTTTTGAGTCGGAGTCAATATGGGTGGATCCGGTGAAGGAAAGGGGTCTTTGGTTATTCGTCAAGCGTGCAATAATACGAATCGGGTGGCCCGACCGTGTTTAAATTTGGTATACGGTTGAAACCAAGACCTTGTTTAAAAAAAAGAAAATGAATTTAATTTTTAAAGGCAGCAATTTTAAGACGAGGGTTGATCCGGTAGCGTCCAATAAATGAGGGATTCAATTGAGAGTTTTCTTCTGTTTCAAGACGCAATTAAGAATTGGGTGATAGCTGGGAGATAAATACATCCGTTGTATTTTTTTTGGTTTTCCTTTTGTTGTCACAAACAGCCATCACTGGTCTTAAAGCGTACGTGTTCAATAATACATTTCAGCTGAAAAGGCATTAATTTAATGTTTTTTAAGTGTTTTTAAATGATTTTGATATGTTGATGTCAAAAATATAAAAAAAAAACACTGGAAAAAAAATATATCGATTGATTTTTTTTTCAATCCAAACATATTTTTATAATAAGAGCTACCCTACATTATCAAATACATACTTACACTTATGATTCATTTGTCAATTTTTACTTGGAGGTTATTATAGATTTGGTGAGTGCATGTCTCCCTTTTTTTCTTTCTTTCTTTTTTTTTTTTTAGTGAAGTGTTTGTACTATATTTTGTTAAATATATACAGAAGTGATCGTTAAATTAACACTTTGGGTGATGATATATATGCAAATTGTACATGAATTATTTGCTTTGTTTCTAATTAATAGTTTGTACCTTTATTTTTGTTAATTGAATGTTGTGCTTTTATTTTTATTATTTAAATGTTTGTATTTTTAAAAAATTATCAATTAGTATTTCTAATTTTAGAATACTAACAAATATTCGCTTTGTATTATCATGTAAATCATATTTGATCATATCAAATAAAATTAAAAATTAAAACAATAAATTATAATTTCTTCAACTAGTAGTGAACTACGAGTAGACAAAAAGCCTATTAAAATGGATTAAAATCTTGCTCGACTCATTGTTTGATTTTAGGAATGGCAATGTGGTAATATTTCTCATAACATTTCGCTTTCGCTTTCGCTTCGTACCCCGTGTGGAGTAATATTTCCCATACTATCTCCGCCCCAAATGGGGATGGAGATCCCCATGGGATATCGGTGCTCTGTTTAATTTTTTGTTTCCACTCCATCCTAGCTCCATTCTACTATCAAATTTTAAACTATAGCAAAAAAAAATGATAATTCATATAGAAAATAAACTCTAAGAGTCGATAGTTACTGATTTTATATAGAGTATAATTGTAATTTTAAAGAAAGAGCAATACAAATTGGGCAAACGAGACGGTGCGGGCAAATACCATCCTCGCCCATCCCTGTTCAAAATTAATATGGGACGAGACGCCTTGTCATGTTCCTCAATCAACTTGAGAAATCCCCGTATTGATTGAGGTGGGGGGCTCCATCGGGATGGGACAAATTGTCATCCTTATTTGATTTGCCTATGATAACATTGATTTTAATATTGATTTTTTTTTATAAAAAAAAAGGATGGAAGAGGTTTGGAGTATTAATTTCGTTCTGTAGAATCAAGTAAAGCTAAGCATGTAAATTCTTAACAAATTACTTTGGTCTCCCTATTTTTTAGTGAACTGGAAAAGCTTAACGGTCCAAACCTTTACCTTCTGAAGGCACAATATAAGAAAAGCATGCGGGGGAAAAAGTTGGGCAGATGCTATCATGATCATAGGCAGACAATAATATTGGCCTGAAACCGAAATTCTGAAGACCCATCACCACTGATGAAATGAGCAGCCAGTGAAGTGAAGCAGAACATTCGATGGCCCAAATCTTGAAATGGTGAATGATGCAAAAAACGCATGCCAATCCTCCTTATCTCTAGCTACTAGTCTGCAACTTCAACCCAATCATATTTATTGAGGATATCTTCAGTGTATGGCACATGCAAACCTTTATTTTAATACTCAAGTAGTACGCAATTGCTATCTCATAATTTAAAATATATCCCACCCAAATCGTGTGGAAAATCTTAAATTAATGCATTATAAAACTTTTTGGTTATAAAAAGTCCTGAATGTTTAGACTTTAGACATGATCAATGTCACTGGTAGATATAAGGCACTGTTGTTTGGGGTTGGTTTTGCTTTGCAGACATGGCTAATCATGGCCACCAGGTTGATGACACGATAGATCAACATCAAGCATTGGCCGGGATTTTTTTATGAGGGTCTTCGAGAAAGGATCTATGCAATGCACCTCCTAAGTATTTAGTCATTTTCCATATACGTACTGACCAGACATTTATCCGTTTTTGGCACCAAGAATAACATGATGTGAGAATGCAAACAAGGCAAGTCATAAAGGCACTTGTCCTATTAACCAAACTGTTCAAGTCAAGCTTTGTTCCTACTTAACCACTACAATACATGAGAAACCCTTCGGTCATTTGCTAAATGGCTTTTTATGCTGTGGCCTGATTGAATCCAGGTCAATGAATTGACAGTAATTTTGCGTAAGAATTTTACAACAGCTATTAGCATGAACATGACCAAACTGGACAGTCCCTGAAGTTATTGATATCTTTTTCAGGCCCAACGCAAACAAACCAGAAGTGAATTGGACCACAATTGGAAGGGTAGAAGCAGTAGCTAGAAAGGAATAGACATAGTCCCAGCAGCAAGCAACCTTTATCTGCCCTGTCTTTTACAAGCCATGTGCAAAAAGTGATATAAAAAATATCCACTCATCCTTTCTATCTAATCTTTACTTTTCTGTCTCGATTATTTTTGTGATTTAAGGCCCAACTCCAGGTCTAAAGCTGTGTAATCCGCTCTGATCTTCTGATTTAATGACAGCTAACATGTCCTTTATTATAACAATAAATATTGTTAGTTGTTTGCCTTAACCTTGTAAACTACTCCATAATTTAATGAAGCTTTTGTTAAGTGACTGAGTGAAGAATGTAACTTGCATTTTTCAACTTTTATTCAATGCCAGTAATAATTGAGGGAATCTCAGTACCTGTGCATGGTTGTTACAATATAATTGGATGCATCCTATTCAAGCACATTGCTTCGGGATTACTGATCACGCGAAAATGGGCGTAAAGGGAGAGCTGGTTAGGAGTGTCTTCTCCAGACACCGCTCTGTTGGAACTCACGAGAGCAATGTAAGTCACAAGAGTAGACACTTCATTTGATTTTCTTGAAGTTATAATGATCTGAATTCATTGGTTAATTGTCATGTAGTTTTCTTGAGAATGAACATGATCTTTTCTTGGAGTTCTTTGGTTTGCTAGTTATTTTAATGCTTCCTATGTGTCTTTCTCCACCACTGATCGTTGAGTGTACAGTAAGCAAGAAGTCTAATTAATAGATTTGGCAGATTTGAATTACTTTGTGATGTACTGTTTTGATGCTATGTTGACCAATTCAGGCAAGAAGAACTGCAGGGGACAAGAAAAGGTGGAGTTCTGTTAGGTTATACCTTTGTGGTGACGAGCTTAATTCAGTGCTTGCAGAGGAGGATTCAGATTCAGTCAAGAGCTCTGAGGCCACTGTTACACAGCCCAGGCTACAGGACACTGCAGACGAAGGAGATGTCCAAACTGAAGAGACCAAAGAAGATACGCCAAAGGAAAAGCATAATTCAACTTCCAAATTATTCCGTCAAGAAGATGCAGCGATCATCATTCAGTCTGCGTTCAGAGACTTTCTGGTTTGTTCAGATAGGCTGAAATACCATAACCTGGATTATTGTAGAAAGATGAAAATAATAGTCATTCATCTTAAGCAAAAAAACGACTGGTTCTGGTAGAGTATTTTGTGATATCATGGCGGAAATTTTGCAGGGAAATTACTGAGTAGACCGTGCATGAGTTAAATTTTAAGATCATGAAAAGCATCACTAGGTTAATCATGGATTTTGGTTTTCCTCCCCTTTTTGGCTGAACATTGATTTTTCTGCTCTTCATTTTTATCCTGGCTTTTTCTGTTTTGAATGGTTGTCTGAGTTCTTGAATTTCAGGCTAGGCGTAAAAGAGAAGAAACCGAGTCAAAGGAGGATGAGCAGGAGCTTGCTCTGGGAACAGAAAGTCCAAGTAGAGATTCACTAGGCACATCAATTGAAGTTCAGACTGGAAATTCTGTGGAAGTTGTCTCTGTTAGAGAGGAAAATGTGTCTGTGCATCATCGAACGCAAAAGAGAGCCAGAACCCAGGTTTTCAGGTTAAAGGTGAGTGCAGACTCTGGTACTATTGTCAGAAAGAGTTTTAACACGGAAATGAAACATGATCTAGTTAACTTAATTGTCACGCATCAAAATCTATGGTTTGAATACGAATAAAGATCATAAGTGTACAAAATGACAACTGACATGTAAATTATGTGAAATTGCGATATTCGAAACTTCACCATTGGAAGGAATTAGACTCAATTTATGTATACTTTTCCACATATGGATTATAGGAAGATTGGGACGATAGCACGGTGAGTAGCAACATTTCAAAAAAGAGGATTCAGAACAGACTGGAAGCAACAAACAGGCGAGAGAGGGCGCTGGCATATGCTTTCTCACAACAGGTATGCTAAAATTCTGACCGAAATGCAAGCAGGAAATAGGGATTTGATGCTTTAACTAACACTGCTTCCGTTAAATCTGTCTGTAGCTACGAATCTGCTCGAAGAAGAAACAAACTAAGCCTGATTGTACCCAGCCCAACATGAGTTGGAGCTGGCTAGAAAGATGGATGGCAACCCGAGTTCCAGAATGCTCAGCGGAAAGCTGTACTGGCAAACAGCTTGAGCCAGTAAACAGCAATCACATATTTGCATTCCGGAAGAGATATTCTGATGCAGGAGTAGAAGAGAGAGAGAGTTGCGGGTCTAATGAGGTATCTGTCAAATTCGATAGCTTATCCATTGCATCTAACGACAAGGATGGCTTCAAGCGCACCAAGAGTAGGCTCAAGGCTACCAGAACCATATCAAGGCGGAAAACAGCACCAAGCTACCAGTGTCCGAAAGAGCAAGCTAAGGTAAATTTTTCTATCCGGCTGTCCCTAGCCCCTACAACTAGCTCACGTTAGTCCAAGTACTACTGCCCCTTGCAACTGCATCCGGCTGCTGATAGCTTTCATTGTTGTCCTTCAAGTGATAGTTTGTCTTCCATGCATAACAATAGTCTCCTCTTCGACATCTTCTTATTCTTTACAGACTTCCAGCCACTTACTCTTTTTCCAAATCATGGATCCTGAATTGAACAGGTAATCAAGAAAGGGTGTCCAAAGGAGATCGAACAAGACACGGAGCAGAAAATGAAACCACCAAAAAGTGGCAGAAAAGAAATGAAATGCAATGCTTCGTCTTAGCCAATGTAGCTTGTAACCTGTACTCTAATCTTCAACAAATTTCTAATATGAAGGGCTTGTAATCTTCAACAAATTTCAAATCTGTTGGGGAACATTGTGTCCTACTACTTGCAATCCATTTCAGAAAGATTTATGGCTTCAAATTATCCCATTGCTTGCAGATGTAACGACTTAATATCGTTCAATCCACATGATACATCAAGAAATATTCCAATCATTTAACCTAAATATGGCAGAACTCAGAACAGAGATACTCACTCTACTTCTATCCCGAGGAAACCAAAGAGTTAAACAGGGCCTGTATTGAAGTTTAAGACAAAAACAATGTAGGAGATTGGCATCGGCATAAATTTGAATGAGGCAAAGCAAAAGGGTAACGTAGTATTTTGGAAACCAATAACTATCCATCTACTAGAAGCTCATGTCATCAGAATTCAGATGCATGTAATAATTCCCAAAACATGCTTTCCTTTCTAGTTCCCTTGTGGATAAATAACGTAGCAGAAGCACAGGCTGACAAGTGACAACAAAACCAAAGCCCTGGGAGAGTAAATACAATCAGAACACTAACAAGTTGCTGTCTGTTAGCAATCCCCATTTCACACATTATCCAAACAAGAAAACAAGGCAACTTAAATAGACTGAGAGTCTAATTACACAATCCCATTTTGCACCCATTATGCAACACCAAATGAAACACAGTGCAGCATTCCTCTCCATACAAAAGCCATGAAAACATCCAACACCATTGAAACATTGGCCAAACAAAATATCAAGCACTGGATACTCAGACTAGCAACAACACAACAGCAGCACAAGATAAGGAGGATACATGAGAAATATTAAAAGTGATACAAATAGGCATTACATGAGAATTATAATAAGTTTAACATCTCAAATTCAAGTTTATAATGCACATTCCTTGTTCCGGCATTCATTATCGGCACTCCCTGTCACTCGTTTTAACACTCAATATAAAATAAAATAAAAAACTCTAGATCTTATCGATATCTTCGTCCTCAAACTCGATATAATCATCACCAGCACCATCATCTTCTTCGTCAAGACCTCCAGCAATACCTTCATTGAGACGCGTATTCTCGGGAAGCTCACCATAAGCCTTCAGAAGCCTAGCTTCATCAGGCATGTACTTCAATATAACATCAGCCTTATCATCCTGATAGTCACGGAGGCCTACAAGAATTATATCACCAGCAGCAATCCAGACCTTCTTGTGCATCTTCCCTCGAATATGACAAAGACGCTTGGTCCCATCAATACACATGGCTTCACAACGACCATTTCCGAGCATGCGAAGTACTTGGGCATACTCCTGTCCATCTTCCTTAAAAATAAGCTCACGCTTCTCATCATCAGCTTCGTTCTTTCCTCTCTTCCTATTCTTTCCTCCCTTTCCCTTGTTCTTCGGCATGGTTTCTGATTCTATTTCCCACACACCAGTAACAAATACCCAATTAGTTATCTAACAAGTTACAAAATTTAAGCATCTCTATAAATTGAAAACCTAAATCTATGATTTATTTTTTCCTAAATTATTGAAAAACACAATTAAAACTGAACCAGACAAGAACATACGACACAGTTTTTTCCTAAATTATTGAAAAACACAATTTAAACTGAACCAGACAAGAACATAGGACACAGAAAAAACTAAAGTAAAAAATAAATAATAAATAAACAACAATAAAAAAATTAGAATCAAGGGCAGATCGGGAAAATAACAAAGAAAAAAATCAAAAATGAAAATCTGGAAATCAAGAACAAGAATCTAAATTCAAGAGCGCTATACTAACGGGGAAAAAAAAAAAAAAACATGAATCGCTTGTGGGTTAGTTTAATAAGATCAAATAATTGAAAAAAAAAAAATAAGGAGAGAGAGAGAGAGAGATAAAAGAAGATAAATACCTGGGCAGCGGTGCTAAGGTGAAGAGGAGCGAAGAAGCTGATAGACAGAAGGAAATCAACAAGTGGATTCTTTCTTTCTTAGCTTTCCTCTTGACCTAACTCTCTTTTTGATGTTGGTTCAACTTAAGGCGGTTTATGCTCTCAGGCCCAATTTGTCCAAGTTGAGTCTGCTGTAGTTGCTTTTTAAAAAAAAAAAAAAAATCAAGACATGTTGATGGGCCCATTTATCTGTCTTGAGCTCAATGTAAAATATGGTTTGGTTATTAAAATCCCAATCGGATCCAATTTTCTCATAACTTTTACAAAGAAAGTAAATCGGTTCGGTCATTTAAAGCTGCTAAAATAAACTCAAATATGGTAAGATTGGCATTGCTCTATAAGAAAATGACTTAGCTAACTCTATCAATTAGGAATGTAATCAATTCATCGTACAACTAAATTGTGCACTTCGAATTTGGAAAGATTGGCTTGCTGCAAGGTGACAGTATTTGTGTAGCCTTTCACAAGTCTTAGATTCTTAGGTTTGTATTTAAGGTTGTTAACCAGTCGGATTTGCATCGATTATAATAAATTCAAATCTGATCTATTTAGTAAATGAATCAAATTAAATTTTATAAATTTTTTTTTGTGATTTTGTAATTGTTGATTCGAATGGATTGGGATCAGATTTTGACATTCATCGAATTTATCATTCAAATTTTTTTACACAAAAAAAGTTAGTTACGTTCAAAATCATGTTTTGATATAAAATGAGTTTTAACTATTGTATGTATATATAAAAAAATGTGTAGCAATAGTATTTAATATGCCAATTTAAGAAAAAATCAAAATGTCTCACCATTAAAAAGAACAAAATCAAATACTCCGGATAAAAAAATATATTAAAAGTCAAATTAATTTAGATTAAGCAAAAAGTATGATAGTATTAAAGAACCATAATAAAAATTTCAAATCTGAGCACAATTTGATTGGTATGAAAGAAAGTCCTAATATTTTACGTATAACAAACGTAAAATTGACAAACAAAAATCGGATTGAATCAAGACTTTACAATAAATTAGAAATATAATACTAGTAACAAATCATTAATTAATTTTTTATAAGTTTATAGGATTTTTCATGAAATTAATTTGAGACTTGAAAATTGAAAAAAAACTTACCATATTATTTGTTTGAAAGAAAAACCATTAATGTAGTTGTCGACAAGGGCTCGCAAGGTAAACTCGCGAGAACAGGGAGTTGCCACCTAGCTAATTGGGCTAGGAAACACTAAACATACTAGTATGCATAGATATCCGGATAAGGGTTGGTTATGTATGAAGAAGATATAACATCACCGTCTTTCTATCCTACCATAGGTAGATTGCATTGTTTGCATGTGAAAACAAAGTTTGGTTTCATTATGTTATATTTTTATGCCTATTAGAGTGAATTTATTTTATCAAGATAGAATAGCAAAGTAATTTGGGGTTCGGGTCTATCTAAAGTCGATACCCATACCCGGAGGGAACGAGTTAAGGGCGGTTAGAATTTTAGCTAGTCTTTAGCAAATATGACTTATATTGATAATTAGGTGAGTTTCTAAAAATTGATAGCCTTTATTGGTATGAATAGAAAATCATTAAAAACTTCGCTCATACAAATAGGAAGTCATCAACGACTTTGAGTCATGAATTTAGGAAATTACCGACGACATTATCACATAAATAGAAAGTCACCGGTAACTTTATTTTACTTAAGCAAGTCACTAGCGACTTTGTCACATAAGTGAAAAGCCACTAGTGACTTCATTTTGAATGAATAGAAAGCAAGCAAATTAACTTGGAAGCCACCTAGGTGGCTTCATCACGTAAATAGAAAGCCACCGACAGACTTCATTTTGAATGAACGGAAAGCAAGCGAGTTTGATTTGGAAACCACCGATGGCTTTGTCAACATAAGTAAGAAGCCACCAATAATTTTATTTTCAAACGAGCAAAAAATAGACAAAATGACTTCAAAACCACTAACAGTTTCATCATATAAGTAAAAAGCCATTAGCAACTTTATTTTGAATGAACAAAAACAAGTAAATTGACTTGGAAGCCACTAATGGCTTTGTCTACATAAGTGGGAAGCCATCGATAACTTCATTTTAGACAAACAAAAATCATATAAAATGATTTCGAAACCATTTACTTGCTTTGTCGGATAAGTAGGAAGCCACCAATAACTTCACTTCAAATGAATAGAAAACAAGTAAATTAATTTAAAAGCCATTGACGACCTCGTCCATACATGTGGAAAGCCACTGGGCAATTTCATTTCGGACAAATAAGAAGCACGTAAAATAACTTCAAAATCACTAGCGGTTTCATCATATACGTGAAAAGCCGATAATTACTTCGTTTCAATAATTAATCTTTTGATAAAAATGGTTTTAGGGTGACTAACGACTTCATCCATATAAATGGAAAGCCACCATTGGCTTCATTTTAGCAAGCGAGAACAATTGGATAAGATGTATTGGATATGAATATTACACATTTGGCACGTCATAGATCATTGAAATTAAATCATAATCTTAGTCCTCCCAACTCCATCGTATAGCATTGATCGCTAATCTTATTTCACTTTAAAATGCCTAGAGTCTCCGACCTTTTTGGGTTCGATACACAATGGTGTATCTAGTCACACTCAAATTATTTAAAAATCACAATCAAGGTAATTTTATATTTTAAAATAAAGCAATTTAATCACAATATCAAATGAGTATAAATTTTTGAATGTTATCCAAAATAAATTGAATGGTGCTGAAATTGATAAAGATACTTTGTTTGAGGTCGGTTCTATTCTCTTCATCTTTGATGAGAACCGATTATTCAGTTAGACATAAAGAGAATAGTTGTTTGTTTTCAAAATCATTGGTGTGGGTCCTACTAGAGTGGCTTCCTTTTAGGCTCGGGATGCCAAGGAGTCGCTGTTTGTAGCTTCAGAGCATAGGTTGTTTGGAGTTATGTCTTATGGATCAATTTCGGATTAGAAGGAGGTTTTGTTTGGTCTTGATCTCTTCATAAATATTAGAGGTATGGATGTCTTCTTTCTAGGTACTTTTAAATCATCGCAATTCAATATGTATAACTTTTGATATGGATAAAACACTATGTGGTGTTTTGGATTGTCATAGGATCTAGGTTTCTACCTCGACTTTACACTTAGCTTTGATAACCCAAAACCATAATGGATTTTTGTGTTTTTTCTTAATATAAAAATCTTAATATGTGTACTTAAAACTCTAAGAAGGTTTTTTTCTTTTCTAAACCTATAAGAAGGTGAAATCCCCTAACCTAATATTCCTCTAAATGTTAATTTGCCAAGTAGTGAGGTCGTCATGGGTTTTATAAGGTTGTTTTAGAGGCTTTTTGATTGTTGGATAATGATGGGTTAGAAAGGTTATTGGAGGGGCTGTTTTGAGGTAGAAGAATGGTTGGAAAGTAATGGAAGAGGGGTTGGACAATAATGGCGATTCTTTGTCTAATTTTGCTATTGTCTCGTTGGTGATTTTGCCATTATTTTGGCAACTTGAAGTCGTTGTTTTGGTGGCTTGAAGGCTATTGGAAGTTGCGAAGTAGTGGTAGCCGGATTGAAGAAGGTTACAACAGCAAATAAGGGGCAATAATCGGTGGAAGAGTGTCTAAAATGAGGCTACAATGGTGACAACAATGATTATCACGAAGAGGGGCTATTTTAACATATTTAAATGGCTTTTTTGGAGAGGTTTCATAGCTGAAATGAAGGAGGAGAGGTGGGTGGCCAGTCTTTAGGTTGTTTTAGGTGATGAAGATGGAGATTGAGTAGAGTTTTGATAGTGGATATAGAGAATTTGGCCAATATAATAGGATGGTGGCGGCTAAGTTTTAAGAAAGAAGATGAATAGTGGCGACCCCTTAAAATAAGAGAGAATATGGGTATTTATAGAGGAAAAATTAGGATTTGGGTAATTAATTAAAACCTCTTTTTTTTGAATTTCCCTCAATTATACTTTTTTTAATTAAGAATTTGGGATTTTTCAATTGTACCTTAAATTGGGTCTCTTTTGGTTTCCAAACTTTCTATTTCTTTTAATTAAACTCGCAAATCATTTTTCAAATAATTCTCTCTCTCTCGACTCGAAATTTAAAAATAAATAGGTAAAAATTAGGGTGCTAATAGTGGTAAAAAGAAAAAAAGAAACATAAATATAGAACGCTATTTAATATTTAGAGTAAATAAATTCTAATTCCAAACCTACTTGCCATGTATTTTTCTCATTTTTTATATTTTTAAAATATTATATTTATTATAAATAATATTAATAGTAATTTTAGATGGGATTATTATTGGAACGGTTCAAGATAGATTCATATTTATTGGATTATTATTAGACCGGATAAAGACAAATTCGTAATTTATTTGAAAGAAAAACCATCAATGTAGTGAAAAAAAGGGCACATACATATAGAATATTATTTAGCATTTAGAGTAAATAAATTCTAATTCTAATCCTAGTGCATGTATTTTTATATTTTTAAATTATTATGTTTATTAAAAATAATATTAATATTACTTTTAGATTGGATTGTTATTAGACTAGATCAAGATAGATTCATATTTAATTCACTTAATAAATGAGTTAAAGGATTAGGATCATAAAAATTGCATACTAGATTATCTATTGACATTAAATTCAGATTGAGTTCGATCCATGGGTAGCCTTATAAATTACATTTATTCTACCAAAAAAATAATATAGATAGCGTGTTTTTAAAATCTTATGGAAAAAAAAAAGTCTCAATTAACAATAAATTGCCCATAAAATACCTCCAATAGTTAAATTGAAAAAAGAAGAAGAAGCAATGATAACAATATATTTTTAAATGAATTTATTAAGTGTTCAATTAAATTAATTAATTGAATTTCTAGTCTAAGGAATTTTTATTAAGATAATAGTATTATTTCAAGTTTATTGGTTTAATATATACAATGAATATTTTCTAATTAAATTACTTATGTTATAATTAAATAGATTATTACAAGAAATAATGAAGATACATTCTATTGAATTAATTGGATTATTTTTATATTGATTATTATTTAGTTTTAATTAAATCTGAATTTTAAAAAGAAATTTGAGAAAAATAAAAGACACAGTTCTTTTTAGTTTAATTTAAGGTATTTAATTTAAATGATTAAATTGAATTCCAAGAATATATATTTTTGACCTAATTTTGATGTTTAATATTTCTACAAGTGTAGTAGGAATATTAGTTAGTGTTGGATGAATTTTTGAAAATTTTTATACCTAATTTTTAAGTAATTCAGATCTATTATTTCTTATTTAGTAGAGAATTCATATGAAAAGCATCACTTTTACCGAGTAACTTTATAAGGTAAGGTGAGGATTTTTACTAGCTTACGATCATTGCACTTAGAATATAAGTCAACACCAATAATATTCTTGACCTATTTAGGTCCGAGATCGGGAATGTTATAGTGCAACTTCGGGAAAAATAACGATCTAGAGTACATTGTTTTCATGTTTCGTTATAATTTTATTTGTAATTAGAAATACTTAAAAAAAATGTTACTCGTTTAAAACAACAATTATTTAATAGTTTTAATAAATATCATTATTTTAAATTTAAATATTTATTTTTATTCTTTTTTTTTCAAACATAATTTAACAATAAATTGAGTTTAATCGATGTACTTAGATATTGGTTAATGAGCTTCGAAGAAAGATACAAAAAGAAAAAGAAGAAGAAGAGAAATCACATTTGAACCCACTAAAAGTGATAAGAATATTTCTATTTAGACTCTTTTTTTCCTCATATTTACGTCTATCTCTTTTCTATAAAGTAAGTATTAATAATTAGTTTTTGATTACTATAAATATCTCTATGTAGTATGCTTAAGTAATGCAACCTCATATGGCAAAGGTTTGGTGTTATTGCAATTATAGTAAGAAAAAAAAAATTGAATGAAAGAACTAATTTTTTACATCTATGAACCTAGCCACTTGGATTTTCTCCTCCAAACATTTACGAGGCCTACTTTAGGGATGGAGGAATTATAACTTGATTTCACAAATTCAAATATTAATAATGACTCGCCCTAATTATTATAATGAATTGATTTTGAAGCACATTTCCTCCGTGTGAGAAATTCGAAGATGACCTTTGCTCTTTGCTCTTTGTCTAGATCCTTATCAACCATTACTGATTTAATAGACTTCATTAGAGCTTCAAATTGAAGCTGCATCTACTGGATTTGCTCCTCCAATCTGCTTCTTGATTGCTTCTACATTTTCATGAAATTCTAATTGTAGACTTTGAAGTTGTTCTTCATGCTTCTTGCTTTGCTCCTCAATTGCTCACATCCTATTATTATCCATCATGATTGATGATTTATTGGCCCTAGAAGAGCTCTTATACCAATTTGTTAAGCATTCTTACTTAACAAAGAAGAACTAGAATAAAGTTTAAGGGCGAAGAAGAAAAAGAAAAAGAAAATTGAAAAGAGAATTTGTATTTGAATTCTGTTTCAATTGTAAATGCTTGAATGAATTTGATTTTTCATCTTCTCTTTCTTTATATGTGATTCTAACCACTGACTCTAACAGTATTAGCCAACAAAGTAAGAAACAGTTACATTAACTAATAATTATCACATCATTAGTTATACTAACTACCTACTAACTAACCATAACCCCAATCACAACCCAGCCAGCTATATAAAACATAACACACCCATCTATATAAAACGTAACATCGAACCATGGTATTAAGCTATTACCACAGCTCATCCTTCAAAAACAGTCTCATGCTTTACCATCCCTTTCCATTGGAACTAGAAGTAATTTTTCATTTCGAAAAGCTGCAACGAGAATAAATAAAAGGCCACCTTTCCTCTTTTCTATATAATTCAAGCACTCGACTTGGGTTAAGAAAAAATAGATCCAGTTGTGCGGCAAAAGGAAAAAAAATGTTGAAGTTACTAATTCGTACAAAAATATAACTTTTGAGATGGTATTGTTCTGTTGAAATTTAGATCTTTTTACGTTAAAAAAAAAAAAAAATAGCATCACGTTTCAAATTTTAATATTATGTTTGAATTAGATAAAAAATAAATAATTATTTTTTTTATCATACACTAAATTATTTATTCCTTTGACATTGTGTTCGAAATTCCATCTTTTAAGGCCAGAAAATCCTTTCACGAGAACTAGAACAGTCCCAAAGATACGAGATACATTTAATTAGATATTTCACATTTTAATACCGGAAAATCAAAGGCAATCACGCATACAATTCTAAAGAGTGCCAAAAATAGTAACTTATTACAAGAACAAATCGGAAAATAAGGTTTTGAACATGACTGAATATCATAAAACCAATTTCAATAAATTGTTAGTCTAAAAGCCCTTGAGAGAAGACTCAATACCATAAAAATTACTACTCTAATGCTTGCGCTTTATTTCAAAACGTGTAGTATTGTGCATTGGCATGTAGTTACAAAAAAAATACAATTATTTTGTGCTTTCCTGGAAGGAAAGAGAAAAATACCCTTGAGCAACCCAAATCTAGCATGCATTTTTCAATGCAGAATCGAACAAGTCAATCTTAAGAACCATGCACATTATGGAATCCAAAGAAAGGACGTCTCCATAAAAAATCAATAAAATCCAGTGGATGAAAAAAGGTTTTATATGCCAGAACCCATGATGTCTCGGGTCAAAGAAAACCCAGCCACATATGACCTGTGTATTCTTGTTTTCACTGTTTTGACTTTTTTACTGGGGAAGGTATCAACATCACTTTTCTTCACATTTTCTACTGGTTTCTCAGCCGTATCCGATTCTTTAGTTTCAGCAAAAAATTGAAGACCCTGAAATGATATGTTGGACCACGTTATGGAAAATGGAATTAGGAATACAGTGAAGAAAGTGTGACCTAACATACCTTTAGAGACCTTTCTTCATATGCAATAGCTGAATGTTTTGCTACCTTCGCACCAACATCCTACCAAAATTTCAAGGTAAAATAGTTCAATTAGTAACTAATACAAAAATTGAGAAGGTAAGGCCAGAATCAGTCCAAAGATGCCTATCCCTCAACACCTTCTAGAACTGGGTCACAACTAGTGCATTATCCATGCAGTTTCCATGGGGGGACTTGGCAAAACGTCCATAACCTAAAATTATTAGAATTGGAAAGGAGGTAGAATTGTAGCAGATGGTTATCAGACCTGATAAACTTTAGCGTCAAGTCCATCTTTAAAGCCTCCAGCAAATTGACATAGATACCATAGACCAGAGTTTGTTGCATCCTGCATGACATGGATTCAAAAATTTCTGAGCCATTGCAAACTGTTAGAAGGAACTCATTGATTAAGAAGTCGAAACAAAACCTGTTTGCTTTCAAGAAGTTCAAGCTTTCCTTCCTGTATAGATTGTTGAGATATGAGGAATCAACAAAGGAATCCTTCAATTAGAAATAAATTTTAAGCTATAAGAAGCATTGCAACTCACCAGCCCAGATATCATTTGGTGGATTGATTCAACATCATATCCAATTTGGGAAAGGTTTGATTTCATCTCATCTACCTGCATGCAAGTAGAACCATAGCTGAAATACATGTATATCTCAATATGAGTTGATCTAGATAAAATAATATCTACTGTCTGCATATTCATGTGTGTGAGGGTGTGGGTGTTCATAAGAAACAGGAATCAGATCCATGGGGACACAAATTTAGTGATCCAACATTTATCTTAATTTATCGGAAAGACAATCCTTTGGGCTTAGTGGACACAGAACTTCCTTTGTGAAGGTCATTACTTGGTCATATTCCATGTAAAGCAGGATTTTGGGAAGAGTAACTGGGATGAAGCCATGGTCTTCAATTGCTTTGCACCCAATAGTGTGCCCAAGGTTCTTCTTTATCAAAACCCCCTCACAGTATAAATTTAAATCCATGTCATGAAAGGCAAAGAATAGAGTGAGGCGAACTATTTACACTATATATATAAGTGTATAACGATGACTAAAAGAGGGTGTACGGTAGAAATGGCACTGTGCACCTCTTACATTTCACTGTTCACACACTCACAATTTACTGTTTATGTGACATTTTTGTAATTTTTGTAACTTTGATGAAATTTTGGGTTTTGTCATTGGTCATGTTCAATTCAGTCCAATCAAGTTTATTAGCATTATGTTTTGGCCCCTCTCTTCATCGAAAGAGAGAGATGGAAATTTTTGGAGGGGGAGGTGGTGGGAGTGGCTGGCCATCTTGTTTTCTGACATGATTCCAGATAAAAAAGGAACCATGGGATCGAACTTGATAAGTTAAGTTTATTAATTGTCATATTAAGTCAATTTTTAGCAAGACAGAGATCTAAGACCAAAAATATTTTCGGCTTTAAAGTTTTGATTGGATTTTGAGGGATTTTAAGGTAGATCCAGATAGACTATAAAGTTTCAAATAGGTTTGTGTAGGTTTTAAGGATAAGTTTGAGGTGTTTTTGGCTCAAAATGGTGGAAAAAAATTGAATTTTGGATGGAAGAGGGGTGTGGAGCAATTTTTCGGTGACCAGAGGATGACAACTTATGGCTTAAATTTAAGAAGTAAATGATTCAAATCTGAAATTTTCGGTGATAATCATTTTTTTTTCTATAATATGCATAATATAAACCTTATGAAGTGAAATTTTGTTAGAGAAAAAATTTCATCAAATTGAGTTGATTAAAATGTATTAATTGAATTTTTTTGCACAATGATATTACCAAAAAAACCAATATTAATTGAAATTAATTGTAGTACATTTATGTTTCAATATGAATTAACTAAAAAAATTAAAACATTTTTTATAAGGAGACCCACAATGCGTGAGACTGCTTGCAGTATTGTGCTAAAAGAAAATAGGGGAAACCTATTAATGTACCCTTATATATTATATGTTTTCTCAATCACACCATTGTGTTAAAAGATCGAGCTGTGTAACCTTTGGTTTCACCATATTCTCAAATCCAACCTCCCATTACTTAAGTACATTAACTTAACAGGCATTTGCTCCGTACATAATTTTTCATTTCTGAATCGACTTAAATGTCCTTCTTCTCTACTCTATTTCCTCTCAAATATTCTGCTTATACCTTCTCTTTTCTGTTCTACATCATGTTGCCTTTCTGTTCTGTGACCATATAAAAGGATCAGGTTTACTTGGTAGCTCAATCAAATTCAAGCTCGCATTCCTAATGTCCTACATATTTCTACAAGCTGAGCTGGATATGGTAGAGTTGGTTAGCTTAGCTTGACTTGTACACAACCAAGCATACCTTATGCCCTAGGCAAGGAAGAAAGGAAAAAAAGAGACACAAATAATTGACATCTATTAATAGTAAAAGGAGAGTACTGAACGTACATCATTGGCAATGAGCTTAGATGTTTCTATCTGCTCCTCAATCTTCCAGTCCAAATTTTCCAGCCTTTTAGTCAGATGTCTTTTTGTTGACTGCACAAGTTGATAGTCGAACTAAGAAGACTGCAAAGGATCCAAAAAATAGAGTTGCTATCTAAGAAATAAAACTTATTTGAAAGAATAAACCCATCCTACTTACAGCCAATGTTTCAGATACATTCTCCAATTGTTTTGACACAGTTGCAACAGCATTTGCCATATTTTGCTTTGTTACAAACATTACATCTGAAAATGACCAGCCCTGCACCACAAAACAAATAGGTGATGCATACACTCATTGATCAGCAAGAAGCCAATGTGCTAACAAGTGCAACACCATCAGCCTTTGTGATAAGAAATTGTTTTCACTTTAAGCATTAGGAATCTTGCCTTCCACCACATGTAACAATATCCCATTGCTCCAAGTGCAGCAGCTGGCACTAGGTAAGATGAAAAACTCCCTGTGGCCACAAGAAAATTTATAAGCATAATTGCATATTCAACTCTTCTATCAAGACATACGAAATAGTTATGTTGCCAAAAATATCTAATAGAACTATGCACGTGCAAAAATGCTGACACAATAACTGAACCTAAACGCTTTTTGACATCAGGAAAAGAAAATGTTTAGAGGAAATTCTAAATCATATAAATTTTTACCTTAAGAATTATCCAGTCCTTGTTTAGACTTTATTTAAGGAACAATCTGAAAGCTGTCTCATGACGGACTTGGATATCCCAACTGCAGTTAACTTATGATTCATGTTCTAGTTTGCAGTGATTGCATTACAAATTTAAAATTTGCTGATTATTTCTTCAGTCATTCAAAAAAGACTCATGAGTAGTATTTATCCTTTTCTCTGCCCTTCCCTTCCCTTCAGGGGAGAGAAGGGGATTGATCAAGGAAGAATGAAATGTCCTATTAGCAAGCCACTTCATTTTTTTGCATATAGTTGATCCACATATGCCCAAATTAAGTAAATACATTGAATCTGACAGTACAATCAAGTGACAAAACCTCCAAATAAAAGTAATGCATGTTTGTCAGAATCCTGAAAGGTTAACCCTCACAGCCTTACCACATTGATTGATTAGATCAGGAAAAAAATCTAACAAATTGATGCTCTTTTAATCAACTTTGAACCTATTGGAAGTTTGGTTTTCTATCAGCATATATACCAATATAAGATCCAAAGAGAGAGGGAATTTTCAATTCAAAACATGACGAGAATACAAAAATGAAGGACATGGCAAAAAATAGACTACTACGAATCTATAACTCTTCAAGAAAAGTATGGAAACTACTTAGAATCTTAAGCTTCTGAAAAAAAGGTATGGTGTACAGTGTACTTACCATCAGAAGCAGAATTTCTATTATAGATGGTTACAGGACTGGATAAGCTCAACTCCTTAATCTCTTGTGCCAATTGACGAATCTAAGGCAGAGACACATAAGAAAACATAAAAAAATACAGTAAATCCAAAGAGAAATATGATAGATTGCTAACAATCACAAATACCCTGACTCCTTTAGAAATATAACTAGTTGCTATTCCACACACTAATGTCCCATCTTTTAGATACCGGTACACCTAAGAAGATTCAAAAAACTTCCCAACTCTCACACACATGACAGCTAACGTGGAAAGCAGTCTATCAAACCTCCAATGGACTTCAGTTACACAACATTTTAAGAAGATTCTGCTTTCCTTATTCTGGTCTAGGAAGACAGTCCCGACTTTGATTCGATTCTTGGAATAAAAGATTGGGGCCACTAGGGTTTCCTCTGTGTGACGATGTCACCCAGGATCTCTTAACTAGCAGCCCTAAACTAGGAGGAAATAAGTTCTTTTGATTCATAATACAAAAACCACACAAGCACACTTGCATTTATTTAAACTGACATTATATTTCCATTATTTACAGTCCAGCTCCCGAAACTTTTTAGATGCACTGATCAAACATAGTCAGGTATCGAAACAAGATGATTTTTCCTTTGTCTTATGCTTTTCTACGAGCACACATTTCTAATTTATACCCAAAAATAAAAAATAAAAAAAATTGCAAAACCTGACAAGCAAGAAGAGCACTGTCGTATTTGTAGGGAGCGATCTCAACTTCGTCAACACCCTTGAGTAATTCTTGAAGCTGCCCAATGAGTTCAGGCAATCGTCCATTTTTCAAAATAATCGAACTAGTTAAACCTAAAAAAAAACACCGAGACAGCACTGTATTAGCATAAATACGAACAAGGAAGCAGTTGAAAAATTAAAATCAAATAAGTATGTAATTCCATAGATAAGAAACAGAAAAAATAAACTCTATCAATTCAATTTACATGAGATGTTATATCTGCAAAGAAAAAACCAAAAAAGGATGGAATTTGCTGATTGAAAGAGATTTGAATTGTTTATTTGGCCAATAATCGTGAAGAAGTAAAAAAATAAATTTCATCAGAGTCCAAGTAAAGTAGAAGGTTTTATGATCAGAGAAAGCAAAGGAAAGATAAGAGACAGAGAGACACCTGCGCCAACGAGAATGAGAACTTTGGAGGTGGAGACCCCTGTCTGCAAAGCCATCTATCGTTGTTTCTTCTTCTGGATGGAGGCTGCTGTTCTTTTCGTTTTTCTGCCAAAATGCTTGTTGTAATTTTGGTGCTGTATTTGACATGTAAGTTTTTCTTGGTTTTTTACTGAGTTGAAGGTGAAAAAAAAAAAAAAAAGGTAAATAAGTGAAAAGTTCTCTCCCGTCCAAGTTAAAGCTATAAACTGCGAGTGGTTCTCGAATTCCAGATCAAGAAAATAAAAAATAAAAAATAAAAAAGTTTCCGAACTCAAGAAAAACAACTGCGTTTTTTTTTTTTTACCCGACAATGCAAATTTGCAAGTTCTTAATTGCATGCTTACTTTTTTTACTTGCATAAAGTAGATTGTATATTATTTATTTATCATTCCTTAACTAATTGAAGTTTCACGGTAAAAAACACCAAAAATACTTATGAGAAATGATGTTTATAAAGGTTATTTAAAAGCACTATTATTATAGTGTTTTTAAGATTGCTAATTATTTAGTAGTTTGTAGTCATTTAAAAGTGATTTTTCTATGAATTAAATAATATTTTTCTTCTCTAAAGTAGCAAGCAGTTTTTTTCATAAAGATTATACTTAATTGTTTATAATTATCATAATAATGAAGAGATTAATAAAATTAGGAAAAAATAAGATATTATTTTTGGTGCATCAAGTGAATTGACTTTACTTTTTTAATCACTTACTTAATACAAAATAAATAATATTTATTTTTTATTCAGATATAAGGAGGGTTTTTTTGTTCATGCTTGTGCTATAATATTAATAACAAATATAATTATCGAATAATTAATTAAGTTACAGTGGTAAGATAAATTATTACAATACAATAAATAAAAGTATCTAACAATCATTAATTTGGAGGTACCATAATTATAATCACTTCCAATAACTATAATAATTATTTTATCTACTAATAATTTATTATTATTATTATTATTCCAAGTCAATATAGGTTAGTTATCATTGACTTTCATGCCAATCACAGTAAAATCAATCAGACCAGGGATCATTACAACAAAGACAAAAGACTAATTCCCTCTCTTACATATAATTTAAACAATTTAGTTCGTAATATTTGCTAAAAATGGAAACCGTAAAATTATGGCTGGGGTTCGAAAAATAAAGCGAGTTGCATGGGCATTTCTGGCATTATACAAAAAGAGGGAATCTTACATCACATGCCACGTTATGAATGACACGGCGACGACGCCTCATTACCACTACGATACTCTTCCGAATTCTCCATTCAATTATTGCATTTCCTTCACTCCAAAAAAGAAAAGAAATCAATAACGCGAAAATGGCACAGGGTCTTCCACTCCATGTCCTGATAACTTGTCTCTTACTAGTTCCCTCTTCGCAAATCCAACAGCAAGAATCCTTCACTTCAATAGTCATATCCCAACAAGGTCTTGATTTCCTCAAGAACTTACTCATAACCAAAGCTATCTCTTCAATCATCCCTCTCAAACTTCCCAACATTGCTAAAACTGCTAAACTTCCTGTCTTGGGTAATGTTCACATTCTACTTTCCAACATCACCATCTACCAACTCCAAGTCATGAATTCTTATGTCAAGCCTGGTGATACTGGCCTTGCAATTATTGCTTCTGGGACCACTTGTAATTTGAGTATGGATTGGTCTTATGACTACAGTTCTTGGTTTTTGCCTGTGGAGATTTCTGATAAAGGTCATGCTTCTGTTCAGGTATAAGTTTCTTTTGTTGTTAAGAGTTTAGCTTTATGGGTTTTGCTTTTCTTTGCTTGTAGGGAAGTTTGAGTTGTTAATGAGTAAATTTGATGCTTTTATTGATTACATGAAAGTGGGTGTTGTTTTATGTCATGCGATTGTCTTTAGGGGTGGACTTGAGTTGCTTAGGGAAGAAATGCAATTAGATTCTGAATTGGGATCATTGTAACTTGTTCAGTGTTTTTTCAAATGTGGTTGTTGTGTATGATGTCATGTTGCTTCTTAATTGATTTGACTTTATTGGACTTGGGAAAGTTATACAGCTTAGGGAGGGGCAAAGTTTAGTTGAATGCCATTTGTGTCATGTGTTGTTGTGGGGCTTAATCCTGACTAGCGTTGTTGGTGTTAAATGCGATTCAGGTTTGATTATGTTATACACCTATACTTCGCCAGTTAGGCTAGCGGGCCTGTTTAGATATTTTGATAAGGCTCCTATTCTTAAGCTCATGGTCGTTCCTTAACTTGCTCTTCTTTATTTCTTTAGCTTGTTTAGATAATTTAAGGTGTACATGGATGTCAAAAGTTGCAATGTTTTCGTATATGAGCTGGATAATTGCTGTTTCCTCTGTCTTTGTCTGCTCATATTTTGTCATTTCACAAAGGGAAATTGACCAGTGCTGCTTCTGGGTAAGGTTGAAGGCATGGAAGTGGGACTTACATTGGGCCTGAAGAACCAGGAGGGAACTCTGAAGCTCTCCCTTGTGGACTGTGGCTGTTATGTTAAAGATATATCAATAAAAGTGGATGGAGGAGCTTCTTGGCTCTATCAAGGGTAGGCAATTCTTTATGGGAAACTCCCATTTGATTGAGAAGCGCCATGCTGTGTCAACTCTAATTTTGCATATTCTGTTCACAGTTGACTGAGCTTTTTGCACTTTGCATATTATTGGCCTTTTACTATTTTCATTGTCTAATAGCCCCTAGATTCTAATGTTTTGCATCTTCCAGTGCATTCCAAAAATCAGCTTATGCTGTGGGATGAATTAATGCACTCCATTTTAACTCTTCTCGTGCCTAGTCCCTGATCCTAATGAGGCCAAAGCCCTCTTCCTATGGTTCTTGCCTCCCGTTAGTTCAGGGTGTGAACAGGCACAGAACCCATGATTTGTGCAGGGTAGAGAAGGGGAGAGAGACATTCTCCTTGAAATTAACCCGACAACCATTCTTAGGATCAAAGTGTTATCTCTCATGTAGTCTAATAATACCTTTGGCTCTCATATGTCAGGATGATAGATGCGTTTGAAGAGCAAATAGAGTCTGCTGTGGAAAATGCTATTACCAAGAATATTGGAGAAGGGATTTTAAAACTTGATTCGTTGCTGCAATCTCTTCCTAAAGAAATTCCTGTAGATGATAATGCTTCTATAAATGTAACTTTTGTGGAGAACCCTTCACTGACTAATTCTTCTGTTGGGTTTGACATCAATGGGTTATTCACAGCAAGGAAAAAGGTCCCAATCCCCAGGTATTACCATACAAATTTAGAACCTTCAGTTTTGTGCACTGAGCCAACTAAAATGCTCGGAATTTCTCTAGATGAAGCTGTTTTCAACTCTGCTTCAGTGTTATATTATGATGTAAGTTTTGAATCTATTATATTTTCTGTGATTTCTGAATCTTTTTGTTAAGGCTGTAGACCTAAAAGCATGTTGACACTGACCATTGGCATTCTCAGATGCTTCTGCTTCTTCTCAAGTTAGTTTTATTTGCTGAACCTGTTGTATTTGAGGACATTTAGGAAGGAATCATGAAGAGGGTAATTGAGTGTCATTTAACCTATCTCCTCATGTTGGAGTAGATGATCCTGCTTTCATCAGTACTGAATCCAATCAACTGATATTTGATAGACTTAAGCTCCAAAATTCCAACTTGTGATGGTAATCATGGGATAAATGATCTGGAATTTTGGTGAAGACATGTGATTATTGTGGTCTACAATAATGTCCTTTAATTGCTTAACTTAGATTTTAATATCTGTATATTTGTTTTGCCAGGCAAAATTTATGCAATGGATTGTGGATAAAATACCAGATCAGGCTCTCCTAAACACCGCTGGATGGAGATTTATTGTTCCTCAGTTGTACAAGAAATACCCAAACGATGACATGAACATGAATATCTCTTTATCTTCTCCTCCTATCTTAAGGATTTCGGAACACAATATCGATGCAACAATTTACGCGGACTTGATAATCGATGTATTGGAAGCAGACCAAGTAATATCAGTTGCATGCATTTCACTGGTAAGTTGGTTTGATGGAGATATAGAGATATTCTACAATCTTATTACTTTTTGCTTAATATTTGTACTGTACCTTCTTCTGTTCTTTTATTTCATCTTTTTAATCAAGTGTCATGACTCATTGGTGTAACAATTAATCTGTAACATTGACGTTGGCAGCCTATGGAAACAATATAAAATCCTAGTATATTGTCTCACTTAGTTTATCATGGATGGTGATCAAATGGTACGGTGCTGCAACTGCTACCGATTGTTTTCTACATGCCTATAATATGATTTTGAGTTTCACTATTGCCCAAGTTTTTGAAAAATGATGTAATTTTTTGATAAACTTGTTTCCACTCATAGATTAATTCTGTTATAATTGAATGAAAAACTATAGCAGATGGTATCATACCAGTACTTTCACTGTATTTCTGTTGGGTTTCTGATCTGAAGAAATTTTACAGTTATCATTGCATCACTTGTTGGAAGCATCAAAAAATTCTGGTTAGACGGTTGTCCAATAGCAATATGCATTTTTTGTGAATATTAAACCTTCCTGTCTCTATCACATCAATCTAGTTCATAACTCTTTTTTCAGTGTCTGTTTTCTTTTCTCAGAAGCATCTACATGGTACCCAGTCCAAATTTGTGCAAATCAAAAGTTATTCATGACCAGTAACTATTATTATTTCGTGTAAAATTTTAGGGAAGATCTTTCCTTCCTTTCAATGGTTAGAATTACCTTTTGTTTCATGTTCACACAGGTGATTCGTGGATCAGGTTCAGTTGGAATTGCAGGCAACAACCTTGTTGGCAGCGTGAAATTGAATGACTTTTCCATGTCTTTAAAGTGGAGCAGTATTGGCAATCTTCGGATGTATCTTATTCAGGTAATTTGTACGGCAAGGCTTTTTTTTTTTTTTAAATAAAGAAAAAGAACAAATACTTTTCTTCTTATTACTGGTAAAATGCTCGATATTCTTCTCCCATTGCAGCCACTGATGTGGACAATTATCCATACCGTGTTCTTGCCGTATGCAAATGCGCATCTAGCAAAAGGTTTCCCCTTGCCCATCATTCATGGTTTCACCGTTCAGAATGCTGAAACTATCTTCTCAAAATCAGCAGTTACCGTTTGTGGCGACGTAGAATTCAGAGATTCGTAGTCTCAAGCAGCTTATGGGTCTCTGTGACTAAACTCATTTATGTTTTCACTATCATGCACCATGGAGCTGCATACGAGGAAATCAAAGCAGATGTACTCCTTTTGTATAATATGTAAAGCCGTGGAGCTCACTCCCACAGAAATGTACCAATTGTGATATAACATTGAGCATCCTTAGATGTCAGGTGTGATGGTTTAGATGTTATTGCATTCTTTTCAGTGACGTCCAGACATGCATAATAATAGCGTTGATTGTGTATGCTAATGAGATACAGCTCAAATGCATCAGTTTTTTTTTTTTTTTTTTCTCTCCAGTTCCAATCTCTTTTGTATAAAAGTTAGATTATAAGTTTGATTGTCTATCATCTGAGCCGTGTTTCAAGTTAATCATAAGTGAAATTTCATGAATGTTAAATTTCATTGAAACGAAAAAAGTGCAAAGAACATATATATATATATATATAGTAAATGGTAAGTCGGTGTATATGTAGATGGATCATACATTTGATAGAATTATTAAATATATGGCGGGGTTTTTTAATCGTATTTATATCAAAGCCAAAGTTTAAAGTTCTAAAAAGACAATATCAAGATTTGACTCTGAAACCTTTGAACTGAAGTCTTTTTCTTATCAGAACCAACAAACATTCGGAGTTTATTAAATAAGATGTGCGAGTATAAATTCTGACGTTAGCAAACCTGAAAATACATTTGCCAAAACGCACCGTCTTATCTCCTTAAAACTGGGACTGGTGTTGGAATTCAACAACACAACCTCAGTCTGAAGTTTGAATTAACCACTCATCCAAATTCCAAAGCCTTTCTAAAACCCTTTCTTTCTTTATGCGGTCTTCTTGTCCTGAAAATGCAAACCTCTATCCCCTTATTCTTATCAACTCCTAATCCTAAAATCCCATCAATTTTCCCATTCCAGCACTACCCTAGTTTTTTCCATGGAAAACCAACAACAGCAACAGCCCATGATTTTCATTTCCTCCCTGTGAAAATAAAAACCAAACCTTTTTTCGTCAAAGCATCCAGCTTTTTGTCAGAAATTGGGCGTGCTATAGAGGAAGAAGAAGAGTACAGAAAGGCCCGTGCTGCTGTTATCCGTAAAGGAATCGAATTGGGAGGGTATACTATTGAGGGTCTGTCCATTGGAGGCCAAGAGACTTGTGTAATAATACCAGAGTTTAAGTGTGCTTTTGATATTGGGAGGTGCCCCAGCAGAGCTATTCACCAGAACTTTGTCTTCATCACCCATGCGCATCTTGATCACATTGTTAGTTTTTTCTCTACTATAATTTTTTTGGCATGCCTTGTTTTTTGAAAAAAAAATTTTGTATTATTTCCCTAATTGGCGGAGGTTAAATGCTTTTATTTTTTAAGACTTGTAAGTTATTCTTGGTCCTGTGAGAATTGAATGATGGCTGTCTGTGAATATGAATGTTCTGTAATATGGTCTAACCACTAGAGCTTTTCAGTTTATGTTTCTTATAATGCCATTGTTTACGGTTGTGAGAAATTATGTGAGGATGTGCTGAAACCATGATTTGTCAAGTTTGTTGTTATTGATTACAAACTGGATGTTAGGTTGGATTGGAATCTGGATGAAAGTCAAGCTGAATTCTTTTTCAGCAATAACAACTGAAGGAGATCTTTAGTAATTATCTAGATCGGTAAAACCCTTATAATGATCTTGGTTTGATGATTGGTGTAGCAAAAAAACATTACGATTTGACACTTGAACCATGTGTACTGCTATATATGTCATTGTTTACTGTTTTTATTACTATGTTTTAGACTTTCTCTGTTTCACATTTGGCTTTGAATGTTGTCATGAGCTTATTTCACATTTACCGACTCAGGGTGGGCTGCCGATGTATGTGGCAAGTCGTGGCCTGTACAGCTTAAAGCCTCCAACAATATTTGTCCCTCCTTGTATCAAAGAGGATGTTGAGAAACTCTTTGACATTCACAGGGTCATGGGGCAAGTGGAGCTTAATTTTGATTTGGTTGCACTGGATGTGGGTATGCCCCTTTAGCTTGCTAGATTTGTCCGTGTATACAATCTGTTAGTGTTTATGCTGAACGTACTCACAAGTTCAAGTTCAGGTGAAACATATGAATTGCGGAATGACGTTGTCGTCCGCCCTTTCAGAACTCAACATGTTATACCAAGCCAGGTGTGTTTCATTGTTTTTGTTTTCTTTTCATTTCCTATTTTCTTTTTCAAAAATTCAAAAAGTTATAAGAAATATAATCATGACTCACGAGTGGTCAGATCACCAAAGATATACCAGTCTTTGTACAGAGTTCTTTCAGGGAATAGCAGAAATCTTGACCTAAAAAACATGTGTCTGAGTCCTGTATAATGCTCAGAAAACTGATGGGTTTGAAGCTTGGAATTATTATTTAGATATGATGTTTGAAATCATGAGATTGTTCATGCTCTAAAGTGTGGAAAATCTCTTGGTGTGATCCAGGGTTATGTTATTTATTCAGTAAGGAAAAAATTGAAGAAGCAATACATTCATCTCAAAGGAAAACAAATAGAGAAATTGAAGAAGTCTGGTGTTGAGGTTTGCAATTTCTGCAAGATAGTCTATGTTACAAATTTTAGTTACCGAATGCTCATTTTAGTTTGCATTTTTAATTAGATTACAGATGTAATATTGTCTCCAGAGGTGGCCTTTACTGGAGATACCACAGCAGAGTACATGCTTGATCCACGTAATGCAGATGCATTGAGGGCAAAAGTTCTAATAACTGAGGTATAGATTAAAATATCTGTCACCTTGTAGAATCATTTTCTGATAAATCATAAGGTGAAGGATGTATGGCTTTTTATGAACATGAATAGCTAACTTTATCCTTGGAATTTTTTCTCTTCTGATGATCATTCCAAAATTCATTGCATCTATTCAAGGAGTTGGAGATAGTAAGCACTGTTGTTTATGCTCTTCTTCTTCTTTTTTCCTTACTTGAATGATTTCAGCAATCCAAACTTAAATTTTTTTTGTCCAGAATCAGTTGAAGTCTTAAATCTAATGTTGACTCTCTTTCAGGCAACTTTCCTGGATGAAGATTTTACCATCGAGCATGCACGACAGCGCGGTCATACCCATTTGTTAGAGGTATAAGAATTTCAATTCTCCCATCCTGATTTTACAGTAACCTTGGATTATCTTTGGTCAATAACCATACAAAATGTTTTCCATTTATTATTGGAACTTTCTGAGATAGGATTCTGTTAATGCTGCAGATTATTGCAAATGCCAAATGGATTCGGAGTAAAGCAATCTTGCTGACTCATTTCTCCTCCCGCTACAGTATAGAGGTGATAATTGAAATGAACCAAGTTATATAATGGTTATTTGTTTTCTTTAACCCAGTGGGACACTTTGCGTTTGACTAAGATAAATAGATAGATCAACTTACTTATTAGAAAATAAGAAAAAGATAGATCAAGATGATGGAAATTGTGCTATCCTTGAACTTAAGATTACCGGTCTCTTTTCTGAGAGACTTGGGAAAATTGGTTAAATTGAAAGTTTACAACTCAACTCGGGTTAGCTGCTCCATATTTGGAATATTTTCCAAGCCTGAAAAGATACATGATTAATTAGATGGTCCTAATTTATTTGATGATGGATGTTCAGTTCGAGGTGCAAAGGTTACTTGAATCGCCCTAAACTATCCGCTTCTGAAAGAATATTGCAAAGAGGGGCCATTTGTTTCTTCATCTTTTTTTCATTCCTGTGCCTTTCCTCTGGATTATCATATATCAGTTGCATGGAAGAACCCTGGTTCATCAGGAACTGAATTTATTGTAAATGGTTTCTGCTAATTTCAGGACATACGCGAAGCTGTATTGAAGTTGCAGTCCAAGGTGTCAGCAAAAGTGGTTCCTCTAACAGAAGGTTTCAAATCAATGTACTCATAGTGAATAGGAAATTGGAGAAAAATTTAACTAGTCTTTGTAATTTATGTGTAAATTGGTAGATTTTCTTTTTAATTAGCAGCTTTATATGTGACCTTATGATTGTCACAGCATAACATGTGTGGAAAAGACCATGGACATGCTACCAAATTACCAATAGCTGTTTGCATGCCTTATTTCTGAACCCCACCCCCGCGAACAAATCAAAAGGACAATATTCCAACAAAGCTTTGGCCAAATTAGTTCACAAGCTCTGGACAAGAACTAATAACGAGAAAGATCCATATTTGATGACACCTGTTTAAGGTAATAACAGGCTGCCTTAACTAACCTGGTTTTTGGGTGTAGAAGCCTACACCAATTATTATCTTTGGTTCTGAACAAATAATCATCACGCACCCTGACTTGATAAGTTAAAATTCTTTAATTGTCCAACCTTTTTTCCTAAAATAATGCTAGAGATAATTAATTTTTTACTAAAATGTTTTGTTAAATGACATAGCAGCAAAACATTGGTGATTTATTGGTTCATACATTTTATAATTATAATTACATCATTAAATGTGATAAGATTAGCATTTCATGACATATACACACACACATATATATATATAACAAATGTTATCTTTTGCCCAAACATATAAGTAAATCTAGCACTGTTCTTTTTCCTTCCGGAACTTATAATATTGGTGGTCATGAGTGCAACACCAAGCTTAAGATCCGCTGAATAAATTAAGTACATTGATCTGGATGCCTGAGGACTAAATAATGCTCCCAATGCACTGCATAAACCCCGACTCGTATAGGAGATATCAATGCCATCTTGTTCTTTACAAACCATACATGAAATCCTTGGCTCTCTTTAAATGGAGATGTGTACTGTATAGCTAGCGCGAGTGCCAAAATGCTTTAGCAGGTAAAATTTGCTCCACCCTGCGTTCATACTCACGTGAATAATAGAGAGGCATTGCATTGATTTTACCTATTCAGAATTGCAATTGCAACAGACAAGTGCACATTTTACAATGGGAAGTCTTACAAATATGATTTGGAGGGAGAAATCCCCTTTCTTAAAATCATAGAGAGGTGACAATCTTTCTATGATAAATATGATACAGTAAAACCGCTGATTTGTGGTCAGAAAGACCCCAGCCGCATTATCTGGAATCGAGTAATAGTAACCCATATCATTTAGCAAGAGAAATAGGATCACAGATCCATCCAACACCCTGAAGCTCCTTACGTAGAAAGCTAAATGGGTACTCTTAGAACGAGACATCAAATGTACATCATGAACTGAATGCTGCCTCTCATTTCACCCTCGAAGGCGGAAGATATTGGTCGTACCTTGCTCCACGTAAATGTCAAAACAACCAGTTGCCTTCCTTTAGGAAAAAATAAATCATTTAAACTTACTTGATCATACAAGCGCCTGTTATCAAAATAAATTATTTAAGCTTAAATGACCGAGTATATTACAACGTAAAACAAGACTAAAACCCTCCTCGGTAAACTCTGCCAAAAACAAGCTTTATAATGTTAGAACATCTTTTCCTGCAGTCACCTCTGGTTAGCTCCTCTAATCTAACAACTTCAGTATGGCTTGAATTCAAAACTTTTGGAACATTATTCCAACGTAAACAAAGAAAGATTTTTGAGAGTTGAAAGTGTAAATTTAAAGATGATGCCCACCATTTCATTTTGTCGACTCCATGTCTAGAAACTGCAGATGTTGCAGATTTAGTTGATAATGGAGAAACATACCCTTCATATCATAAGTTCAGATGCCAGATCAAGAGTGCAGAACCAATCTATCCGTTTTATAACACAGAGGTGAAAAGTAGAGATGCATTTGTTCCTCCAAAGCCAAAAGAATTTGTCACAGCTGCTCTTACTGGCATCTCTTTTGAGGCAGTCAATGGCATAAAATTGTCTTTGAAGATGGGATCTGGTTTATTGAGGTTAAGTGTCAACGGTGCAATTCCCTGGAACACCCACAAAAAGCATTCTGTTGTGATTGCCAAAAAGTTAATGAATATAAAGAAACCAAGTGGTTTTGTTGCTTCTGTTTAAGCAGAGCACGCGATGGATAGAGCTTGGCAAATATGCAAGCCTCCATTGTCAGCCATATAGCTTCTTTTCTTTTAAGTTTGTGAGACATGTTTTTATTTTACTGGATTGTTCAATATAAAATCACATGGGAGAAGGTTTGCGCACATACGTACAGCTCCTTGTTGTTTGCTTTTTCAAAAGCCTAGATATTATGAATCAACACTCTTATGGTAGAGGTGTTTCAGCTGGTAATCATTAAAGAACCAAGCAGGCCATATGAAATGCTTACATGGTGTATTGCTAAAATTGCAAATATGGCTTCAACAGCACCAGCAGCTCCTAGCAGATGACCGATGGCACCCTGCAGTTAATAGTAATCACAAGTAAAACCATCATGAGAACTGGCAGTTGGTAAGAAACAAGAACGAATATTGTTCTCTAAAGATAAAAGGCAGTGGAAAAAGTTTGCAACTAAGCATGCATGCGACTATCAAGGATGAGATATAATTCCCTTTCTTCCAGGGAGCAGGGTAATCTGTAGATAGGACATAGAAGGCTACAAATTACTTACACTAGAAGAAGCATACTAAGGGAAGCATCATTTGGAACTGTCACATTAGCTTGAATGACAAATCTTTCATCAAATTTTGTTTTAATGTGTTTCTTAACTGTAGCCAAGGTTATTAGTAACTAGGGTGTAATTCCTCACTCATAACCCACATTGTTCCAGTATCAGACCTATGCAGGATCACGTTTCTTCAAGCTCATCTCAAAAGCATGTTGTTGTTACTCCTCAGTATGCAGCGATGCAAGAATGAAATAAGGGTTGTGAACACAAGCAAGAATCATTCATATAAGATTTACAAGCATCCATAGGTTAAGAAGTTCCATTACATGCACCATCTACATAATGGAACTTTTATTATTTCCCCATAAAGCGTGAGTGACAGTGTCAGGATCAATGAGCAAATGCCAACAAACACTATTCTTGTCTAAATCTGGTTTGAAACCTAATATTTACCTTTGTGGAAGACAATGCCAAAGCACCTGATGTTGCGTGACCAGAGAATAGAGTTTTGATGGCACTGGCTTCTACAGTATCACCTGAATCAGATATTTCAGCATGGCCCACATATACATAAGTCTTAACACAAATTGACATCCTAGACATACAAATTGATAAATAGAAAGGGAAGCAATATGATAAGGTCCATCCATAAGCCTTACCTAAAGGGGTAGATGTGGCATGGGCATTAATGTAATCCACTTGATTGGGATGAAGACCAGACTGTCATTGACAAAAAAGCAGGGTAGTAAAAGCAAACCATGATTGATGAGATGAAAACAATTAACGGTATTAGAAAGAAAATGCTAAGCAAGGTGCCAAGTAATTAGCAGAGTATAAAAGTTGATCCAGCAATTTAAACACTAGGCATTGGACATTTTGCCCCTAGATGTAGTCTACACATCTCAAGTTATGACGCCATTTCAAACAAGATTGCAAACATCTCAACAATTAATGTGCAGTGGACATACAAGTCAAAGCCCACATAGCTTCCTTACCTGTTTCAAGGCACGTGTCATGGCCAAAATAGCTCCTCTTCCATCATGATGTGGTTGAGTAATGTGATATGCATCACCTAGACAATATCACCATCACCATAAATGAAAAACTTTACTAAAAATGACTACAGAAAGATTTACTACCTTTTTCCCAAACAACCTGACATCCCATAGCCACGAATCTCTGCATAAATTTTTGCTCCTCGTTCTTTTGCATGCTCAAGTTCCTTTGTAAGGTAATAGGAGAAAAGATCGTGAACATCATGGTCATGACTCAACTCACCAAATTTGCAACAATTCATAAGTTGAAAAGTTAATAGAGGCTCAAGTCAACTTACTTCTAATACCAAGACTCCAGAACCTTCACCTATCCTGAGCTCAAAGCATAAGGTGTGAGAAAGAACAAGAATGGACATGTGTGAAAAATTGAAAATCAATCAGTTATGAACATGTGCTTACACAAATCCATCCCGATCACAATCAAAAGGTCGAGAAGCTTCTAGAGGCATGGAATTGTGCTTTGTGGTTAATGCCCTAGACCTGGAATTAAACATGATACAGTCAATGGCTAAGTAAGTTAGTAACTGTGACGAAAGCCACAAGGAAGGAAGCTGAGCATAACTCCATCAAGAAGACTTTATCCAGTGACAAAAAGGTACTCTAAGAACTGATAATCTAACTGCATTTCCAAGCCAAGGCATAGAAGAGTAGCATAAGCCCATAAACCATCAACATGATGCCCCACCCATCCTTTCGATGATTGGATGCTAAAACGGGTCTAGTAGATGCTCATTTCCAAAGGTAATTGTGCTTGCAGTTAATTTCTAGTTTCAGTATGGTTAACAATGTTATAAGGAATCACCTAGTTTTGACCCTAGGATAGGAAATTTAAATAGAGCCCTGTCCTCAAGCAGAGCAGTATTTTTTTATGAAGTTACTGCTCTCAAGTCTCCTCCAAACGAGGAGAATTTTACGACTTGGTTGCAAAACCAAGAATTTTACCACTTTCAAATGAGGCTAAACTCAAGTTTAATGGGAGCATATGATCAAGATTGTGAACCTTTACAACAACAATAATAATAATAATAAACAACTACAGTAAATCCCCCAAGTATCATGAAATTGCAGGCACTACCTAGAGTTTGAAGTTTTAATAGAAACATCCTCCATGTTTAGGAAAATATTGCAATTTATACCCAAAAAGCCCTTTCCATGAGAGCAGGAAATGCAATTTAAAAACTATTAAGGGCATTTTGGATGTAACGGGAGATTTCTGTAATATTTTCTTGAACACGGAGGAGGTTTGTTGTCAAACCTTCACACATTTAATAGTGCCTGTAATTTCACCATGTATCAAAGGGGTAATTTACCCTACCAGAAAGGAAATTACTAATAATGCTCCGAGTAAAGTGCATTCAGAGAAGGCATAAACTTCGGTCCAATAAATCACCAGCAAAACAGAAATTTCATTCAATAAATTGCATTATTATTATTATTTTTGTAAGATTTCGCTACCAAACAAGAAACTGCACTATTATAGAGCTCTAAGTGATAGCCTGCATTCAGAAAAGGCATAAAATTTGGCAGAGCAAATTACCTGCAAAATCCTGCTATAGATAAAGCATCTATGCTGGAATCTGTCCCTCCAGCCACCATAACAGTTGAATCCCCAAACTGAATCATCCTTGTAGCATCGCCAACAGAATGTGCTCCAGTAGCACAAGCTGTCACAGCAGCATGGTTTGGTCCCTGTATCCAAAATATATATATATATATATATATATATATGAACTAACTGTACCAACATGTTACTTTACAAACACAAATGAGGACTTCATTCTATTCAAATTTCCAAAAAAATATTGACTGGGGACATTGAGCAGAAAAATAAATGAGATAAAAGCTTATAAGGAGAATTGACCATCACTATGCACACTCTCTACTCGATTCACCATTCTTCCTTATCTATTGAACCCAACCTCTCATATTCATAACCATAAAGAATGCTTCTAATTACCTACAAATACAACTAGCAAAATAATAGCTCTATCTTGAAAGCACGATTCTCCCAAGTGATCTGTCAAAGAACCAACTAGATTGAAGAGATGAAGCACCACCTAACAAGTTTCCATCGGTCCACCAATGGACTGCAAAATGTGTTCTCATAAAGCAGTCATATGTTACATTTATCAATACTATTAGATCAGGATGTTAAATACACACCTGGAATCCATATTTCATGCTCACATGACCAGATGCCATGTTAATTAATATCCGCGGGATGAAAAAAGGACTAAGCCGTCGAAGTCGCTGCATTGAGAAAGCCTCAGTATCAGGTTAATCGTTTCCTATGGCATAGACCACTTCCAAGCCCATCCAAAAAGGCCAGGATAAATGCTTTTTCTTTGTTTCGAGGAAGTAGGCACGGCCATAAACTTACCTTCTCACAAATCATTTGTGAGGCATCCAGTACATCAGTTATGCTTCCAATTCCTCCACCAATAGAGACACCCTGGTATTCTTCACGTTAAAGAAACTATATATCATCAAAGAATCAGAAAATATGTATATACTTTCACTCTATCCACAGAATTATCACACATTATCCTCAAACAATAACAAGTACCGTTCTTTCCTTCTGTTCCTGCTCTGTGGGCAACCATTTTGCATCTTTAAGAGCTTCATCAGCCGCACACAGAGCATAGCCTATAAACCTTGCAATTGATCGATGCTCCTGAGAACCATAAAATATATATAAATCACAATTTGCCAAATCAAAACAAGAGAGAGAGTGCAAACTTGATGGGTACCTTAGAATTAAGCCATAAATCCTCATTGAATTCACCAGTTTTGGCGCCGCAAGGCACGACAGCAGCAACTTTAGACGTGAGTTGATCAAAAGTGTATTGCTGAGTTTCTCTATCGAAAGAAGAATTCATTTTGAGATCCTCTGGTGTTATTGCCCGAACACCACACTCTCCCTCTATCAAGCGCTTCCACGTCGTTTCCACCCCACAGCCGAGAGGAGTCACCAAGCCCATACCGGTGACGACAACTCGGCGAGGAGAGATTGGTGGAGGAGGGCCAAACGAAGAAGATAAGTGACGACGAGTTAGTTGATATAGAGATGGAGATGATGATGATGATAATCTACGCCAACGAGAAGGGCTGGCCATGGACTTTGCCTTTTTTTCTTTGGCTTCTCTCTCAGTCTCAACTCTCAAGCTTCGGTTTCGGTGCTAGAGCTTGAGGTGCTGCTCTACTCTGCTTGTGAAAGTTGAGAGAAAACGACGACGGTCTTTCTTTGCGTTGTTAAAAAACTATTTCAGTCATCTGAGAAATGTATTTCTCAATTTGAGTCCCTTAAATATCTACCATCCTAATTATACCCCTTTGGCCTGGAACCTTTGTCAGCCATGTAATGTCCTAAAATATACGAAATTCTCAGAAATTTGAGATTTAGTGGCTTAATATAGGCAAGTGTGATTGACATTTCACGTTTCAGATTCCTTTTTCCTAATAATCTTAAATGTTTCAGATTCCTTTTTTCTAATTAATCTTAAATGTTTCGATATCAAATGCTCTCAAATCTAAAATGATTGTGGGCCATTTTTTGATCAAAAAATTCAAATCCGTTTAAAAAATATATATCGATTCAATGTTTTGTTCGACATGATTTATCATAGATAATTTTTTATTTTGAATAAAATTCAAAAGTTATTTTTCATAAATATCTTTTGATAAAATGAGTCAATTTAGATATATTCTTAGTAAAAAACAATTTGAATTAACTTTTTTATGAAGGAAAGTAATACAAGTTAAGAATTAAAAATTTTAAAACCAAAATTAAAAAACTTTTACCCAATTTTGTAACATTTTTTTTTTTTGGAAGTTGCAAGTTATTTCTAACAATATTTCTTTGCGTCGACTGCTAAAAAACAACCTAAATTTAGTATGCACGAGTCATAACAAAAAGTAACCTTAGTGAAAGAATTTTTAGGCACGTAAAATTTTATATAGGCTAATTAAGATTATGTATAACATGATTTATGAAAGAACTCTTTCAATTATCGGTAATAATTTTAAACTTGTGTTTTTATAGATAATTTATAATAAAAATGAGTTAAAAGTATTTTTAGATAGCTTTTATGTAAAAAGACAAAACATATGTTTTTAATATAATTAAATACAAACCGCTCATATCGAAAATAGAAGATTTATAAGAATTTTACTTCTCCCGATTTTGTTTGAGTTTGGAACCTTAATAGTAAACAAATGGAGGATGCATGTGTATTGATCTAATCCTTTTAACATGAAATTTTTTCAATGAGTTTCTCTCTATTAAGAGAATGTGCCTCCACCAATTACCCTCAACCCATCGAAAAGACTTGACCACCGGATAACTAACCTTCCAATGATGTTCGGGAATCCCGGCAATCTCCCGCATTGTATACTCCATCACAAGCTAAATCATCTTTCTTAGAAAAACTTATGGTTCGATAAAACCAAAAAGAGGAAGTTTATACAACCAAGATTCAATAACCAATTGATCTAATTGCTTTAAGTATTGTGCACAAATCTTTTAGATATGACAACTCATAACTCTCCAGCTTTATTATTGACACACACTTTTTTCCACTCTAGAATCACCATGACGTCAATCGGTTATCATCAAACTATTGGATAAATCTATTTTATTTATATTGTTGTTCTTCAAAATTGAAATGTTATGGAAACTAAATGGGGGTTTCAATGTCCCGGATTTAGGCTATGATTTGTTTTCTAGTCAAACTTGATAAAAAAATGACTTTGAAAAGGCTATTGGAGAGAGACCATGGATGATTCTTGATCATTACCTTTCGGTAAAACCATGGAACCCGGACTTCAATGCCTTAGAAGAAACTGTTGATTCGACTCTAGTTTGGGTTAGAATTCTCAATATTTCAATTCAATACTATGATGGGGATCTTCTAATAGGCCTAACTTCGAGAATTGAAATTCCTATCAAAATTGATAAGAAATACTACTCTTGCAAATCGAGGTAAGTTTGCAAGGATCCGTGTTGAAATTGAATTAGGGATCTCACCTAGTTGGTCAAATGGAGTTGGATGGAAAACTTTATAACGTGGTATATGAAGGTCTTCACATTATATGTTTCCAATGTAAGAGACATGCCCACAAAGACACCGAATGCCCATCACCGCAACCACCTCTAAACTCGACTCCTCTCGATCATGGCGACCATAAAAGCAATGAAGAGCACGCGATTAAGGAAATCATGTTGTCAAGGAAATTGATAAGAATTTAGGAGAAAATTGAGGATTTGGTCAATTGATGATTGTGAAAAAGAGATTGATGAGGAATATAAGGCTTAAAAATCAGCTTAAAGGAGGGAAATTTGCTCAATCAAATTTCAATAATAAATTTTTAGCCTTAAATGATTTAAGAGGAGATCATTTAGACCAAATTCCATCTAAGCCTATAGCCCGAGACATTAGGAGATCATATTTTTTAAGATAGGTGTTAGATGACCTTTGGGTGTTCAAACTAGAGCTAAAAGAAAAGCTAAAGAGCCCAACACCAAGCTAAAACAAATAGACCCAAACAGACCAAGTAGCCTATTGATGCACTCACAATGACTAGTCCATAGCCCATGCTTGCCCAATTTGCTCCGTAAGTGGCCTAACCCAAGCTGCCCCAAGTTGTAAGACATTAAGTTATTATATCCAGTTTTAAAGAGAATCAACCCCCAAATGTTGAAATTCAAATTGCAAATCCAATGAAAGATCCATCCGTGCTTGCCATGGTATACCGTTTTTACATTACTTTTACAAAAAAAAAAAAAAAAGTTTCCCAAGCTAGTTCCCTCAACTCCGGACATTTGATTCCACCCGATCCGAGGCCCTAACAAGCATTCGACTCTTCACACTTTTGCCATTGAAGTGCTTGCTCTAGTAATAGTGTTCATGGATAGTGAGTCCAGCTATGAAGCTAAAAAATAAAAAATGGAGGATAAGATTAACATAGAAGTAGAAATTGAGCTATCTAACTAGTATTTCTCCATTTATTTTATTTATCATTTTTATGATTAATAAACTAAATATTATAGCTTAGAACTACCGAGGAGGTAATAAATTGGAGTTTTGATCTTACATAAAAGAACTCATTAAAATGTATAAGCTTGATGTGGTTGTTATTATTGAGTCTTAAATTTTAGGTGCTAAAGCTTCGGAGGTCTCCAACAGACTTTAGGTTTGACGAGTATTATAAGGGTAGAGGCCATTGGTTTTTCAAGAGGCATTTAGTGTTTGTGAAATAGTATAGTTGTCTAAATCCAAGTAGTGTGGGTTCACCAAGCAGTATATCCATGTTTTGGTTTTGGATCAAATTGTTGGATGTTTGATGTTTATCGTAGTTTATGCCTATCTTCAAGCCACTGGGCAAGAAGTGCTTTAGGCGGACTTAAAGAGTTTTTTGTGATAGTGTTACTCGCATTGTGGATGCTCATTAGAGACTTCAATGATTATGCCAACCATATAAAGAAGAGAATATGCCATTTTTTCCTGGCTAGAGCATGTAAATTTTGAAATAATTTGAACTTCTATGGTCCGATTTATGTGAGTTTCAAAGGCGCTCCATACACTTATTGTAAAAGATAATATGAAACAGTTTTAACCTTGGTGAGACTTGACCATGTAGTCCGCACTACTCGATTGGCACTTGTTATTTTTAAAGGCTTTTATCCATTACCTCCCTTAGATGTTTTCGGATCATAACCTAATCTTCCTATAAGGATTCATGCCACCTCTTTTCCTTAAGCCTTTCCACTTCCAAGATTCTTATATTTATACCTTAACTTTGGTCAACTTGTCAAGGATACTTGAAATACAACTTCGAGTTCTCTTCATGATGCTTTGAATGACATAATTCTTATTGTCACTTGCTTCAACAATCACACTTTTGTAGGAAAAGAAAAACTCTTACCAAAATAGATATGCCACAACCATTGATAGGAGGAAATGAAACAAAATTGAAAGACTTTATTTAGAAGATGGCACTTGGATATTAGATTCAAATGTTATACAAGAAAAGGTTCTCTTCTTCTTTCAAAACTTATTTTGTATTGTGGATGACATATCCGCTTCTCTACCTCTTCTAGCAGGGCATCCTACTCTTGATCGGTTTCAAATAAAGGACTACCAAGACCTATTATTATAGTTAAAGTTCTCATAATTGTTAAATTCACAAAGCCTTACAAAGCTCTTGGCCCATATGATTTTTAACATATGTTCTACTAGAAGTATTGGTCCACTATTAGGGATTCTATCTTTCGGATGATACAAGAAGCCTTCAATTATGGTGTTTGCCTTTCATAGATGCTAGAGACCTTCATTTTTTTGATCTTGAAAGAGCAATATCCAATTAGTATGAAGCATTTTAGACCCATAAAGCCTCTATAATGTGAGTTATAAAATTTTTATAAATGTTTTAGTTCAAAGAATCAATCGATGGACCAGTTGATTAGCCTCTATAAAGTGCTTTTATTTCAGATTGTGTAGGTATATATAACATTTTATTAGCCTAGGAACTAATGCACACTATTTGGAAACCAAAGAAAAGATTAGGCTCCCTTGCAATTAAAATTGACTAGGCTAAAGCTTATGACAGCGTTAATTGGTAGTTTCTAAGTCAAATCTTGATTGACTTTAGCTTTCCATCTAAATATATTCAGCTCATAATATCCTGTACTTCTAGTTCTTCTTCATCCCTTCTATGGAATGGTAGCAAGTTATCGAGCTTTAGTCCAAAATGAGGGTTTTGCCAAGGTGGCTTTTTCTCTCTATATCTCGTTTATGTTATGTATGAAGAAGTTTTTATTATTTATAAACACTAAAATGATTAGTAACATTTGAAAACCAATCTTAGTTTCATATGGTAGCTTACGGTATCTCATTTCTTCTCTATCAATAATGTGAAACTTTTCTCTCATACTTCACACCATCATTGTAAAGTGGTATCGGATACTATGAAGCAATTCAGTGCAAACTCGGGGATACCGGTTAATAATTATAAAACCCATGTCTACATCTCTTCGTACACATCTCGTTGGCACTAAGAAGAATTAAAAAGATATCCGAACTTCTCATTTACTTTAAACTTAGGCGATTACTTAGGA